CTTACGACAACGTCAAGCGAAAACGGTCGTGGTCGAATCGCGGTGAGCCGGCGGAAATGGTGGCCAAGCCAGGATTGACGGCCAGGAAGGTTTTGCTGTGTGTTTGGTGGGATTGGCAGGGAATTATCTACTATGAGCTGTTCCCCTACGGCAAAACTCTTAACTCGGAACTGTACTGTCAACAATTGGACCGTCTGAAGGAAGCAATCGCCCAGAAGCGGCCAGCTTTGGCCAATAGGAGAGGAATTGTGTTCCATCAGGACAACGCCAGGCCACACACATCGATAGTGACTCGCCAGAAGCTCCGGGAGCTTGGTTGGGAGGTTCTTATGCATCCACCTTATAGTCCGGACCTGGCACCAAGTGATTACCATCTGTTCCTGTCCATGGCGAACAATTTTGCTGGTGAAAAATTCGCTTCAAGAGAGGCTTGTGAAAATCGACTGTCTCAATTTTTTGCCAATAGGGACGAGGGCTTCTATGAGAGAGGCATAATGAAATTATCTTCAAAATGACAACAAGTTATCGAACAAAACGGCGCATATTTGACCTAAATCGGATTATTCTAACTATGGTAATTAAAGCCTCCAATTTCATGCAAAAATAATGGATTTCTTTTTACTACACCTGATATCTTTGTTAGCGCGTTCTGAATATGGGCCAATATCTCTTCAATGAAGCGTTTACGAGCAGACTTCCAGATAAAATATCTGTTTGTTTAGAGGTCCTAAATTCATATTTTAAGTTTAGCTATTTAATCCAGAAACACCCTGTATACAGGATGTCCGGTAATTAGTTGTCAACCCGAAGTGTGAAGGTAGATTGGATGAAGACAAATATAAAAGTCCCATATTGTTTTGCAAGATTCGCAATAATTACTGAGTTACTAATAACAGAAATCTGACGAATGAGCACGCGCTGAGATGGATGATTGGAGAAGCGTCGCAGCCTCTCGGGTTACAGCGCGGCTCAATCGACCTAGCAACTGTTAGCGGCAAGCGGCGAGATGTAAGTGTGGCGAGATAAAACACCAATAGCGGCGTGTTGTCCTTTCCCTTGCCGTGCACCGGCAACGGTTGCTGGATCAATTGGGTCGCGCTATGGCCCGAGCGGCACAATGCTTCACCAATCATCTTTATTAGCGCGTGTCCATTCCTTAGATTTCTGTCATTGTTAACTCGATAATTATTGCAAATCCCGTAATACGATATGGGACTTTTATGTTTGTCTTAACCCAATCTACCTTCACACTTCGCGTTAGCAGATAATTACCAGACACTCTGTGGAAGTGTTCCTATCTATTTTTCGAAAAGTCCACATGCCGGAAAGCATTATTATACAGGGTGTCTCAGAACTTTGGCACACGGGCTCCGAAGGGATATAGAGCTAAGTGAGAGGAACAGAAAAGTCCTCTGCCATAATATGAAAATCGTAATAGTTTTTTAATTATAACAGCGCAAAATTAGGCGTTTTCCACGCCCAGCGCGGCCTATAGACGCTCAGCGGCAAGCAGTGTGCGTAGGGGCTAAGCGATAACGCGGCTCGCGCTGACCGTCGCGCGGTGTCAAAGCGTCAAGACGCCATCGCGACAATCAGCGCGAGACGCGTTATCGCTCAGCCCCTACACACACCGCTTGCCGCGGAACGTCTATAGGCCGCGATGGGCGTGAAAAACGCCAAACTTTACGTGATTATTACTAAAAAACTATTACGATTTTCACATTATGGTACAGGACTTTTTTGTTCCTCTCACTTAGCTCTATGTCTCTACGGAGTCCGTGTCCCAAAGTTCTGAGACACCCTGTATATGGTTGGATTTGACATAAAATATTCTTTAATTTAATAGAAACAAAATTTTTGGATTATATTAAAAACTTGATATATATTAAAAACTAAATAATGGGCGTATGGGGGTTTAAAATTTTAAGATTAAAAGAAAATGAAGACGCTATTATACTAGGTGCGCAACTAAGTTTCCGGGTTTCACACATGGATGGCGCTAACGACACATGTAGTCGACATACATGTCTGAAGTTGTGTTTTTTTTTATAGCTTGGACGTCTGTTAACAATAACCAGTCATAATACCAACACATATCGCAACGCAAAAATATTTTTTCTAATAACGAAGATGTCGGGTTTTGTGCCAAATAAACAGCATTTGCTTTTCTTTTCTGCTTTAACTTGAAAGAAAAGTGCAGCTGAAGCGCGTCGTTTGCTTGAGGAGGCCTACGGCGACACATGCACCATCAAAAACTACCTGCGAAGATTGGTTTAAACGCTTCAGAAGTGGCGATTTCGACACTGAGGACAAGGAGCGCTCCGGAAGACCAAAAACAATTAAGAATGCCGATCTGCAAGCGTTATTGGATGAAGATGATACGCAAACACAAGATCAACTTGCGGAGGCATTAAACTTGACTCGCCAAGGTATTTCCAAACGTTTACATGCCATGGGAAAAATTCAAAAGGAAGGAAAATGGGTGCCACATGAGTTGACTGAGAGACAGATGGAAAATCGAAGAGCCACTTCCGAAATTTTGCTTTTGCGGCATGAAAGAAAGAGTTTCCTGCATCAAACTGTTACTGGCGATGAAAAGTAGATATATTTCGAGAATCTCAAACGCAAAAAATCGTGGCTTTCACCTGGCGAAGCAGCAACATCGACGGCACGGCCAAATCGCTCGAAAAGAAGACAATGCTCTGCGTTTGGTGGGACCAGAAAGGAATCGTGTACTATGAGCTGCTGAAACCAGGCGAAACTGTCAATGGGCATCGCTACCGACAACAACTGATCAATTTGAATCATGCATTGCTCGAAAAACGGCCACAATAGGACACGAGACACGAACGAGTGATATTGCAGCACGACAACGCTCCGTGCCATCGCAACTTCCATCGTCCAGGACACCATCAAAACGCTAAAATGGGATCTGCTACCGCACCCACCGTATTCGCCAGACCTAGCCCCTTCCGATTATCACTTGTTCCAGTCGATGGCGCATGGCTTGGCTGGGCAACACTTGGCCAATTTCGAAGAAACAAAATTGGTTGAATGAATGGTTTCAGTCCAAAGACGCGTCGTTTTATCGTCGCGGTATTCATGTATTGCCAGAGAGATGGCAAAAATGTGTAGCTAGCGAGGGACGATACTTTGAATAAACCATTTTTTGTATTTCTCTTGGAATTTTCCATTTTTCATTGATCAAAAAAACCCGGAAACTTAATCACGTACCTAGTAAAGTAAACCATTCAAGTAAAGTTTCTCCAAATTATTAAATTTTTATTGAAAAAATTTTTTCCTTATATTTTTTATGGTACACTCGCTGAAAGAAAAATACCAATTTTTTTCAAAGAGATGTTTTATCCCTTTGGGATAAAACTTAAAGATTAAAGGATTGGGCATGTATAAAAAAATTTATATCCCTTATTTTGGTCTAGATTACAACATATTTTAAGCTCATCAAAATCGTAGAGGGACACTTCCATGTGTTTCCTTGTAAGAAATAATAATTAATAAGTTATTAGGTGCGCAACTAAGTTCTCGCTGTTTTTTTTATGAAAATGCAACTTTATTGTGAAAAAATGGTTACAAATGAATCATTCAAAATATTGCCCATCGCTAGCGACAACTTTTTCCCATCTTTCTGGCAGAGCTCGAATACCGTCACGGTAGAAGTGTTCGTCTTTTGAGGCTATCCACGAATCAAGTCATTTTGAGATGTCTTCATATGAGCGGAACTGCTGATTAGCCAGACCATGTGCCATCGAACGGAACAAGTAATAATCGGACGGCGCAATATCTGGGGAATATGGCGGGTGGGGTAGGACTTCCCATTTGAGCGTTTCTAAATAGGTTTTAACGGGTTTGGCAACGTGAAGCCGAGCGTTGTCATGCTGTAGAATCACTTTTTCGTGCCTCTGCTCGTATTGTGGTCGCTTTTCGCGCAGTGCTCGGCTCAATCGCATCAATTAAGTTCGATACCGTTCCCCAGTGATGGTTTCGTTCGGTTTCAACAGCTCATAATAAATAACACCGCCCTGGTCCCACCAAATACACAGCAAAACCTTCTCAGCGTGAATATTCGGCCGAGCCGACGACGTAGAAGCATGACCGGGCAATTCCCATGATTTTGTTCTCTTTGGGTTGCTGTAATGAATCCATTTTTTATCACCCGTAACGATGCGATGAAGAAAACCCTTCCTTTTTTGCCGCTGGAGCAGTTGTTCACAGGCGAAAAAACGCTCAATGTCTCTTGGTTTCAAATCATAAGGAACCCAAGTTCCTTGTTTTTGAATCATTCCCAACGCATGCAATCGCTTGGAAATGGCTTGGCGGGTAACTCCTAATGCTGAAGCAAGCTCTTTTTGCGTTTGGCACGGATCCTCATCGAGCAATGCCTCCAATTCAGCGTCTTCGAAGGTTTTTGGCCTTCCTTCACGCGAACGGTCGTCAACATCGAAATTACCGTCTTTGAAGCGACGGAACCAATCACGGCACGTTGTTTCACTTAGAGCAGCATCTCCGTAAACTTTTTGAAGTTCTCGATGCGCTTCAGCCGCCGTTTTCTTCGAATGAAAGAAGAAAAGCAACACTTCCCGCAAATGACGATTATTTGGCACAAAATAAGACATTTTCACACAACCAAAAGTATATGACGCAAAAACAAAATCACTAATGTGTCAAAGCGGTTTGTTTACCATATGTCTAAGTTTGGTTCATGACGTTTTGGTTATGTCACAATCGACCAGCACTTACTACTGGAGCCATCTCTTGAAAAACAGCAGGAACTTAGTTGCGCACCTAATATTAATATGTTTTTGATAAATAATTTATGAATTTATGAATTCCTTTTACATAAATATACTTTATATAATAAAATAAATATGTAGTATAAAACAAAACCGTTTATATAAATATATCTTAATACCTGATAAAATATGTGCAAGAGTGCCAAAAACTGGCAGAATTTCGTCCACTAGATGTTTCATCCAGTTATTATGACTTTTCAGTATGTGGAACCCGAAATCCTCGACATCGACACACTGAACAACACCAAACGGGCTGACCGAGAAGTGCTGTTCTTTAATCGCGTGCCGAAAGTCGGCTCCCAGACGTTCATGGAGCTCTTGAGGAGGTTGTCGATAAGGAACTTGTTCTCGTTCAATAGAGATCGTGTCCAGCGAGTCGAGACGATACGTCTCGCACCGATCGAACAGGTACGTCGACCTCTGGCAAGAGGGCCCAATCAATTATCATCAATCGCAGTGATGGCAGATGCTTACTTAGCAATCAACCAAGCTTAATTTACAATCCCGCCGCTCGAGCCCTACAAGGTGATAAAAAAGTATGACGATACGGTTGATCAGGTGACTCGCACGCTAACGGTTTCTATCTCTTCCGTCTCCATCTTCGGCACTTCCGCGTGTACGGCTCCTTCATGTCTCGTCAGTAAAACGGGGGAGGAAACATGGGTAACATTAAGCTACGGTAAAAACCGGTTACGTAGGATAATGATCGAGCGAGAAAACGGGAGAAGAACGATCAGAAGAAAAAGAATGCATCTCGCTTTTGAGATCCTTGAAATTCGAACACGAGAACTCAACTTAATATCGGCTCACTTCTGCTAAATATTTCACTTTCTCGATCTAAGCGTTTAGTTCGTAATGATCAAAATTAACAATAGATAAAGAATGTAAATGTATGCTAATTTCTGTAGAATTAAAGACATAAGAAAATATTACATAGAACTTATAATATATATAGATTGATTTTACAAGATATTATATTCTTGTATATATTCTTGTAAATATATTCTTGTAAAATAATATTCTTGTATTATATATTCTTGTAAAATCAACACATAAATTAAAAATTAGACTATTTTTTAATATAAAAATAAATTAATTAAATAGATTTTGCACATAATAAGTATTCATTGTTCTGATCATCGATTTAGTCGATGGTCGGTAAATATTGCAATATTTACGTAATATTTATGAGTGTGAATCAATAGTAGTGAAATTAACATATATCATTTCATCTTGTTATCAAACTTTAAATTATTATAATTATTTCATTAGGAGATATATATATATATATATATATACACCATATATACTTTTATATATATATATATACACACATATAATTATATAATATCTACTAATATACTAATATAATATATAATATTTAATATTAATATTAATATAATATATAATATATATAATAATAATATAATATATACTTATATATATAAAACATTTCTATTGAACCTATCAGGACTGTTGCATCGGAAGTTAATAAGGAAGATTACAATAGACAAATTTTATTATATAATATCTATATAAAACAAATATGCCGATATTTAAATACTTGTTTTACATGATTTACTTTATAATAAAGTCAACAAGTTTCATTTATACCACTTTATATTACTATTTCATATTCTTACTATCTAACTAGTTTATATTTCGTTTTGTTACTATTTTACATTTCGAAGTGAAAAAAATGTTCATTTTATAAAAAGAACCTAACTAACTGCTTAAAGATCAATTAATTAAACTCAGATGAAAATAATTTAATTTTGAAAGGACAAATATGACATCTATAAATCATTGACAAGGTCTTTTTTTATAAAATTTTCTAATGAATGTTTATTTAAAGAAATGTTTTATTTTGTTGACAATGTTTGAATTAATAAAACAACTGAACATATGTAAATATATAGATTATGTCAACATCTCTAAAAAGATTAATAAATAATAAATTATGAACAATTTGCTATTTTTTATTGAGAGCATCAACATAATTAACAAATGCTGAAGCTATTACACAGATATACTAAGCAATGATTTATCTTACAAAATATACAAATTCATAGAGATGAATATTTGGATAATGTAATGAAAACTACAAAATGTAGAAAGAATTGTGCTCTATATTGAAGGAGGGGAGAATTCGATTATCCTTATATAAAGATTAAAACGATGAAAATCGGAGTTAGGAACATGTTAAGATACTGATCCCTTTATCTTAAATGATTTCTTTAGGATTTCTTTCTTCTTAAATAGTTTCATTCGTACGGTCCGTAGGATTTAACTTTAGTTTGGCTTCCTCTGTATTCGCAGCTCCAGCTCGCCCGGATGGTCAGCAGTTACTCGGAACCATCTGTCTACGTGAAGCACGTCTGCTTCACTAACTTCACAGAGTGAGTACCACGAGATTAGCCCTTGCAATTTGGATGATTGCTATGTCATTTTCTACTTTCCTCTGTCTTCGTCATCAGATTCCATTTGCCAGAGCCGATTTACATCAACATAGTCCGTGATCCTGTGGAAAGGGTTATATCCTGGTATTATTACGTAAGGGCACCGTGGTATTATGTGGAGAGGAAGCAAATCTTTCCAGATTTACCGCTGCCCGATCCAAATTGGCTCAAAAAGGATTTCGAAATATGCGTTCTCAAAGGCGATCGTGAGTGCAGATACTTGCAAGGTGAAATCCACGAAGGCATCGGCGATCATCGCAGACAAACACTCTTCTTTTGTGGACACAGCGAAAAATGCACGTAAGAACACACTTTCGTCGCGAATTCTTCACTAAAAACTTCCGCAGTCATCAGTGACGAGTATTAAGATAGTAGTCTTTTGAAGCAAGCAGAAAAATTCACAATATTTAAAAATTTCTTTCATAAAGATTATAAAACAAAAGGGCATAGTTTTGCTTATTTATTTATTGATATTTAAAAAAAATGTCCTTAATTTTTATGTGAAAAGAATATCTAATGAAAAAGGTTATGTATAAAATAAAACGCAGAGCATATCAAGAAACATTTGTCTCATTGGTTATCACGATTGAGCTCATCTGAAGTAAAAACCATAAAATTAGTTTTAACCTATTCGATTGTCTTTACAACCCATGCTAATTTTCAAAATGCGACATTTTTTCGAAAAATGCCTGATACGGTCATTCTGCTACATTTTACATATACAATATAGGGTTACCAAAAATATACCAAAGAACCGTTAAGAAAAGAACTCGAAATTCAGATTACATTTTCTTCTACATAGTGTAGTCTTTACTTTTTCTATAACTTTACCAAAATTTTATCATAATATATTGCAAACATATTTTCAACATGTTTCTGATTTATACTAGCAGAAAATGTGGACATTAAAATTTAATTTTTCATATTCAAATCGACTGAATACTTCCTTAATATTCTATAATTTTTTACGTGTCACATTTTTGTATCTGGATAATATAATTGCGAAATACATAAAAAACATGATATTTTATTAATATATATATAATATATAATATATAATATATAATATATAAAATAATAATAATAATATAATTGCGAAATACATAAAATGCGTGATATTTTATTAATATATATATATATCTCTTTTCAAAGTCCCTTTAATACCGTTGGTGCTCTGGAACGTGCGAAGTTGGCAGTGGAGAAACATTATGCGGTAGTTGGTGTCCTGGAAGATATGAATACGACCCTCACAGTATTGGAGAACTACATACCACGATTTTTTCAAGGAGCTACTGACGTTTATTATGGTAAACGATTAATTTTTGTTTAATTAAAAAATTTTTAAGTTATTATTATACAGGATCTGCCAAAAGTTCTGGAACGGCTAATTATTTCAAAAAATAATGATTTTTAAAACAATATTTGAAACAAAAGTTGTAGGGCTTAAAAAAGCTATCAGATATTGATAATTGTTTGACCTTGGAATGACCTTGAGAAACGTTATCAAAGTCGACATAAAAACCTTTCATGGAAAGTCCAATTTTTTACACCGTCTTTTTCCACCAATTAATTTGAACAACTTTTGTCTGAAACATTTTTTTATTTGCCGAATATTTTTTGAGATATTTAAGGATAACTTGGTAACTTTTTTAATATTTAACTTACGATATCTCGTTAACTGTTTGTCGGTATAAAAAAATGGTACTAGAGTTTTCTATACTATTTGATCTCAAGAATATATTGTTACAATAGCGCCCTGACTTTTGTTAATTTGATAATTTTGAAATTTCGAAAGATCGATAAATTAACAAAAAATAAAGCATTATTGTACCAATATATTCTTGAGATCAAATAGAATAGTCTAGTACCATTTTTTATCCCGACGAATAGTTAGCGAGATATCATATGTTAAATATTGAAAAAGTTACCAAGTTATCCTTAAATATCTCAAAAAATGTTAGGCAAATAAAAAAATATTTTAAACAAAAGTTGTTCAAATTAATTGATGAAAAAAGATGGTGTCATAAAAAATTCGAATTTCTATTTAAAATTTTTAGGTCGACCTTGATAACGTTTATCAAGGTCATTCCAAGGTCAAACAGTTATCAACATCTGATAGCTTTTTTTAAGCTCTACAACTTTTGTCTCAAACATTGTTTTAAACAATCATTATTTTTTAAAATAATTAGCTATTCCGGAACTTTTGGCAAACCCTGTATGTATAGAGTGAAGAAAAAGTCACGGACTGGTAAAATATCAGGTGTAGTAAAAAGAAATCCATTATTTTTCCAATAGATGGCTTTAGTTATCTGTATCTCGCGTTGTATAAGTCCGATCGGGTTCCACTAGATGGCGTTAGAAAGATGAGATTTCGTACTAAAAAAACTTTTCTGACAATTTTGTGATTAGTTGACTCAGTTTTGTTTGAGCGCGCGTCAAAGATGGACACTAGCAAAGAGAAAATACGCTATATTTTACAGTTTTTCTTCGATAAAGACGAAAACGCAAGCCAGGCGGCTGAAAATGTGAATAGTGTTTATGGTCCTGATACTGTAACAGCCAATCACGCGCAATTTTGGTTTCGTCGATTCCGTTCCGGTAATTTCGATGTCAAAGATGCATCACGCACTGGAAGGCCAATTGTCGAAAATATCGATAAAATCATGGACATTGTCGAGTCCGACCGTCATGTAAGCACTGTTTCGATTGCCCAAGAGCTAAAGATTGCACAGCAAACCGTTTGGAACCATTTGAATAAGGCTGGATACAAAAAGAAGCTCGATGCATTGGTGCCACACGAGTTAACGAAAAAAAACCTCATGGACCGAATTTCCATCTGCGAATCGCTGCTGAATCGCAACAAAATCGACCCATTTCTGAAGCGGTTGGTCACTGATGATGAAAAGTGGATCACTTACGACAACATCAAGCGAAAACGGTCGTGGTCGAATCGCGGTGAGCCGGCGGAAATGGTGGCCAAGCCAGGATTGACGGCCAGGAAGGTTTTGCTGTGTGTTTGGTGGGATTAGCAGGGAATTATCTACTATGAGCTGCTCCCCTACGGCAAAACTCTTAACTCGGAACTGTACTGTCAACAATTGGACCGTCTGAAGGAAGCAATCGCCCAGAAGCGGCCAGCTTTGGTCAATAGGAGAGGAATTGTGTTCCATCAGGACAACGCCAGGCCACACACATCGATAGTGACTCGCCAGAAGCTCCGGGAGCTTGGTTGGGAGGTTCTTATGCATCCACCTTATAGTCCGGACCTGGCACCAAGTGATTACCATCTGTTCCTGTCCATGGCGAACAATTTTGCTGGTGAAAAATTCGCTTCAAGAGAGGCTTGTGAAAATCGACTGTCTCAATTTTTTGCCAATAGGGACGAGGGCTTCTATGAGAGAGGCATAATGAAATTACCTTCAAAATGGCAACAAGTTATCGAACAAAACGGCGCATATTTGACCTAAATCGGATCATTCTAACTATGGTAATTAAAGCCTTCAATTTCATGCAAAAATAATGGATTTCTTTTTACTACACCTGATATCTCGAAAGCCAAACATTTTAGAGAAAAATATTTTTAACAAAAGTTGTATGATTTCAAAGAAGACATAAAACAACTATATTGTTTTGTTTATAAATGGTACCACTTTCGAGATATTCACTGATCATTACTTTTCTTAAAACGAAACTTCAATTTTTTATTACACCATCATTTTTTACCAATTAATTTAAACAACTTTTGTCTGAAACATTTTTTTATTTACCTAATATTTTTGAAGATATATAAAGAAAACTTGATAACTTTGTCAATATTTAATTTACAACATCTCGCTAATTATTTGTCGGAAGAAAAAGTGGTACTAGACTTTTTTGCTCTATTTCATCTCAAGAATATATTGTTATAATAATACCCTTACTTTTGTTAACTTATCGACCTTTAGAAATTTCAAAATCATCAAATTAACAAAAGTCAAGGCGCTATTATAACAATATATTCTTGAGACCAAATAGAGCAAAAAAGTCTACCACTTTCTCTTCCGATAAATAGTTCCGCAAATAGTGAGGTGTTGTTAGTTAAATATTGAAAAAGTTATCGTTTTCTTTAAATATCTCAAAAAATATTAAGCAAATAAAAAAATGTTTTAGACAAAAATTGTTCAAATTAATTGGTAGAAAAAAACGATGTAATAAAAAATTGGGGCTTCTATTTAATTAAAGTAATGGTCAATGAATATCTCGAAAATGGTGCCATCTGTAAACAAAATGATATAGTTGTTTTATGTTTCTCTTACAATCATACAACTTTTGTCTGAAACATTTTTTTCTCAAATACTCTCAAATATAAACTTACGTTTTCGAGATATTTTACCGGTACGGGACTTCTTCCTCACTCTATATAATGTTGTTATTATTGTTCATATTCATGTTAAGCTGTATTTTCAAATGGACCATCCCTTCAATTGAGATGAAACTTGTTAGCTAAATTCAAAGAATCATATTAAAGTTAACTATTAAATTCCCAAGCGTGGGCCTTGAATTATTTAAAAAATAATATTATAAAATTAAATAGCTTTAAAATGCTTCAACCTTTACTTACTCCCATTAATGACTTTGATATTGACATGTATTATAAAAATTATAATTCTGTTAGATAGTCACTAGAGAGCTCTGCTTAGAAATTTGTCCCAAGAATTGTCGTATAAGCGAAACTCTGTTTTCTTTGATAAATAACCATATGGCCCCGATACAACAATTTATTCAAACTGTTAGGATACTTATTGACAGCATACTACCAAACTGATAGCCTCAAAGGTCATGGCTATAATTATCTGAATATCAACCATCAAGATCATTTTGTGAATTAAAACCGGAATAGACACTCACATGATTAAATCTCACAAGGGGAAGACGTATCGACTGGGAAACGGTTTGGAACGAAACTTACGGAGTTAATAGTACTTGACTACTAATAACTCATGGTAACAGCATACAATGCACTACTTCTTCGTTTTCGAGAAAAAATGGTCTAAAAAAAAGAGCCAACAAATTGTACGAGTTAGTAAGAAGGGTATTCAACGAAGCGGCGTAACGGAGCAACGAAGGTAATAAATTACCGAATTGACGGCCCAGGTTCGATTCCTGCTGTATGGCTTTTTTTTATTCTGTAAGCATAAAAGTGAAACAAAAAACATTAATAAATAATAAAACTGCGTTTCTTAAATATATTAGTGTTTGTTAAATATATTATTAATGATTTAAATTGCAAAAAAACTGTAAATTTTATCTATAAAATATATAGTGTATGAGAAAATTTTTATATAATAATTACAATGGAAATAGGAGTAAAAATATATTTTCACTGGAGCATTTTTTGATAATAATTCATTACTCTCTTAAATAGAATTCGTATATATGAGAACATTAGTGGCTTCACCTTTACAATTTTCATTTTCAAAAGATCTTTCTTCTAGCGATTCTAAATCAACTATTTTACTTGTTGAAGGATTCTCTGACATTATTATGATATATGTAATTTAAATATAATCACCGAACTGCTCTGTATCACTAGTAAACTACAAAAGCACACTGCTGCTTGCTCTATTGAAGACTGTTCCGATCCTCGAATCATTTCGTCATTTCTAACGGTCGTTTAGAATGACACAAAGGATGTTTTTGGAAGAGGATTGCCAGATAAAGAGCTTCAACACAACATAGAGAGTTGTACAGAAACAAATATTTTATATATACGATATAAGATTACGAAAAATTATCTCATATTAGTTTAATAGCACTCCTATATATTTCATAACAATATTTTTATTCCTATTTCCATTGTAATTATTATATAAAAATGTTCTCATACACTATATATTTTACAGATAAGATTTACGGTTTTTTGCAATTTAAATCATTAATAATATATTTAACAAACATTAATATATTTAAGAAACACAGTTTTATTATTTATTAATGTTTTCTGTTTCATTTTTATGCTTACAGAATAAAAAAAACATAGCAAGGATTGAACCTGGACCGTCAGCTCGATAGTCCGTTACCTTCGCTGCTCCGCTACGCCGCTTCGTTGTACACCCTTCTTACTAACTCATATACTTTGTTGGCTCTTTTCTTTAGACCGTTTTTCTCAGAAACGAAGAAGTAGTGCATCGTATGCTATTACCATGAGTTATTAGTAGTCAAGTACTATTAACTTCATAACTTTCGTTCCGAATCGTTTCCCGGTCGATGCGTCCTCCCCTTGTCAGTGATAATCTTTACGAATGTAGCTGCAGCGAGAAAACATCTCCAAAGTCGATAAAGATAAAGGAAGGTTTCGATTTTTTTACTTTTTTAGTAGTCTCGATAACTCGAGAGACTACTAAAAACTCTCATTTATCCGAGAACTAGTTAATGATAACCATCACGATATCAAAGCAGGTTTATAGTATAGATTAGAAATTAATGGAAACATAGGCGACCATTATAAAAAAAAGAAAAAATTGCCTAGTCCAGGCTTTTCATTTTCGCGCAGCTGTTTTCATTAAGAAGAAGTTTGGGTCGGGATAATTTAGTTTATGAATTATTTTTAGTAAAAGTTTATTGAATTTATTGAATTTATTGAATTATATATTTCCGGTGATAGTTTATTGAGTTTATTGGTTTTCGTTGCTCGTTATACGTATATTTATTGAACTAATTTCATATAGATTAACACATATATACGGGTGAGTCAGTTAAAGAGTTAGAAACTTATATCTCGGAAACGAAACATTTTAGAGAAGAATATATCAGACAGAAATTGTATGGTTTTAAGGGGGATATAAAACAACTTATATCAGTTTATTTATAGATGGCGTCACTTTCGAAATATTTACTGATCATTACTTTTCTTAAATGGAAACTCCAATTTTTTGTTATGTCATCTTTTTCTATCAATTAATTTGAACAACTTTTGTCTCAAACATTTGCCTAAAATTTTTTGAGATATTTAAGGAAAACTTGGTAACTTGGTTTTCAGTATTTAATTTACCATATCTCGTTAACTATTTGTCGGAAGAAAAATTAGTTAATTGGTACTAGCCTTTTTTACCCTATTTAGTCTCAAAAATATATTGTTACAATAGTGCCCTGACTTTGTTAACTTATCGAAATATCTAAAAAAATGTTAGGCAAATTAAAAAATGTTTCAGACGAAAGTTGTTAAAATTAATTGATAGAAAAAGATGATATAATAAAAAATTGGGATTTCCACTTAAGAAAAATAATGATCAGTGAATATCTCGAATATGACGCCATTTGTAAACAAACTGATATTGTTATTTTATATCCCTCTTGAAACTGTACAACTTTTGTTTGATACATTTTTCTCTAAAATGCTTCGTTCCCGAAATATAAGTCTATAATTTTTTAACTGACTTACCCGATATATTAAGTGTACTAATGAATAATCCAAATTATTTTAAGCAGTTATGAAATCAATTTTAAATTGAATAGATTTTCCCGCTCTTTTGTGATTATGCAATGTTGACATATAGCTATTAAAAAGAACATATAGTTTGGCGAAAGACCCAACATAATCTTCAAAAGTATTCAGTTCAGTACAGTCGAAAATGGCAACAGATAAGGTGCATATCCGACACTGCATTCTTTACGAATTCCAATAAGGAAAAAATGCTGCAAGAGCGTGCGAATCGATATCGATTTGTTCCTTTCTCGGCGAAGGTGTTGTATCGTACAATGTGTACGCATTTTGGTTTAAGAGGTTTAAAAGCGGTAATTTCAGTCTAATTGACAAACAACGCCCTGGAGGCCCTCGGAAGTGCGATAACGATGATTTGGAACAACTGCTCGCTGAGAATTCGGCACAAACACAAAAAGAGCTTGCAGAACAGTTGGGAGTAACGCAGCAAACGATTTCCAAACGCCTACATGAGATGGGAAAGATCCAGAAAGAAGGAAAATGGGTTCTGCATGAACTCACTGAAACCAACAAAAATCAACGAGTGGCAGCGTGTCTTTCTCTTCTCAATAAGCAGCGTCGAAAGTCTTTCTTGTGGAAAATCATTACGGGCGATGAGAAATGGATACTTTATGACAATCCGAAACGCAGAAAGTCATAGGTAAATCCCGACGAATCATCAAAATCGGTCGCAAAACCCAATCGCTTCGGAAAGAAGGTTCTTCTCTGCATTTGGTGGGATATCAAGGGCGTGCTTTATTATGAGTTGTTGGAACCGGGTGAAACCCGGCAGTTACTGCGGACTGCTACCAACGTCAATTAATCTGCTTGCGTCAAGAATTAGAACGAAAACGCCCGGATACTGGAAAAGGAGAACGTCCAGTGAAATTGTTGCATGACAACGCCAGGTCACATATTGCTTCCAATACAAAAGACACCATAATGAGTCTTGGCTGGGACGTCTTGCAGCACCCGGCGTATTCACCAGACATTGCTCCATCCGATTATCACTTGTTCCGGTCGATGCAACACGCCTTGTCCGATATGCACTTCCAATCAGTGGATGAGATTCGAAAATGGCTTGATGACTTTATTGTGTCCAAAGACGTAACATTTTTCCGAGATGGAATTCATCAGCTGCCTGAAAAATGGCTTAAAGTTATAGAAAGCAACGGCGAATACTTTGATTGAACAATTTAATTTACTTTCTTTTAAAATAAACCTTGAATGTAGCTGAAAAAATTGGATTATTCATTTGTACACCTAATATTAATTTTCTTACTATTTCTATATTATTTTATAAAAAGTTTGAAAAATTAAAACAAATCTGTCTTATAATCCTTCAATTTTTATCAATATCATGAAATGGCCATATTGAATTTGCATATATTGGATTGAGACTCAATGTTATAGGAGCGAATATATTATCTTGATAGTTTTATGAGTTCGATAATAGAATATACATTTTTGACGAATTTATTACGTAGATGAATTATTGTAGATAACAAATTTGTAAACCAACAACGTATCTGATGTAAAAAAATCCTATATTATACGTTGTTTATGGTAAAATTAGATACATATAATTAATTTATTTCTCTATGTGTACAAATATTCTCTGACATTTACAAGGATAAAATAATGTAGATAAAATAATGTGAACACCTGACAAATACGCAATATTTATTAATAAGTTGTAGAGCCACCATTTGCCTTTAAGACAGCTGCAATTCGTCGCGTAATAGATTTGTAAAGTTTATGAATAGTTTCCAACGGAATATTGTCCCATTCTTGTACCAACACTTCCGCCAATTGCTTGAACGATGATGGAGGTGGAAATCTGCTCCATAGCGATTTAATGATAATTGAGTTTTAGCGATTGTACTGGCTAGAGAAAATGTTTGATTATTTGATATTCTGATGTTCCTCGAAACAAGACTGAATTTGTTTAGCTGTGTGTATTATCATTATCGCATTATCATCTTGGAATATGGCAATGTTTGGCAACAATGTGCTGGTCATAGTAAGAACTTCATCGTTGAGGATTGAGATATTCGCAGTAATACGGCCATTGATAGTAATAATCGGACCAACGGAATACCATAATATAACTGCCCAAATCTTCATAAAGCTGCCCCAATGTTTGACTGTGAGTAGTAAGGAGTCCGGATCGTAGGCTTCTTTGGGTGTTCTTTATACATAAACTCGGCCGTTTATAGGGAACAAAGTAAACGATGATTCGTCGGACTATACCAAATTCTTCCAATCATCAATCGTCCAAATTTCATGATGTGGCATCACTTCTTTCGCGGCTTCGCGTTAGCTTCCGTTGTAAGGAGTTTCGGAATTACAGCCCTGCCATAAATGTTACTTTCGTGGAGCTCCCGCCGTACTGTTCTTGTCGAAACAAGATTGCTCAAATTACTGTTGAGTTCTGCTGTCATCTTTGCTGTGGTAGTTTTATGCTGTTTGGCCACGATTCTTTTTAATATTCGATGGTCTCTGTCTGTCCCTGTCTGTTGATTTGCGTCCACTTTTTCTCTTTGCAGGTATCGTTTTCCCATATTTTACTTAGACTATCATCACCGTGGATACTGCCGCTCGTGAAATGTTAAACAGTTCAACCGTTTTCGTTACAGACACTTCCACTAACCGAGCACCTACGATTTGCCTCTTTTTGAAGTCTGATAGTTTGCTCATTTCACCGTCCGATTGTTGAGACCGTCGTAAAACAAAGTGTGTAGTACATTGAAATATAAACTAGAAAAGTTAGTACGTAAACTGCACAATATATACGCGTCGCACTGTTCATACCTTGCCAGGATTGCCAATACAAATAAATGTATAATATTCAGCATGTTGTTCACATTATTTTCTCCACTCCCTGTACTTTTAATAAATGTATCGCGATAATATTACAAACAATTTGTTTTATGTTTTTAAAATACTCTAAAAATTTTGAAAACTATTTTATTATATAATATTTATGTAATATTTGTAAAATATTATGCAAAAATGATAAATATTACATATAATATCAACATTTAAAAAAGTAGATTTAATGTTTTTTGTTTGCTGAGTAATAGCTTCATCAATTTAATAAAGTGAAAGATTTAAACTATACATATGTTGTTCACACAAAAGCATATAATCTACATAGGGTGTCAGAAAATTATATTCTATTTATTATATTTTTTGTTAATAACTTTTTATTAAACACTAACTAAAATTTTCTGAAGCTTCCTTAAGACATTGACCGTGCAATATATGTCAAATTGTTATTCTAGTAAATAATTTATTTTGAAATATAATTGATATAATCTTTAAACTTTTTATTAATAACTTTTTAACAAATAATAAGCAACAACAAAAACTGTTAGAAAATACTCAGAACTATGACCTTTATATTATCGAAATCAAAGTCATTGATGAGGAGTAAGTAAAAGTGAAAATATTTTTAAACTATTCAATTCTACAATATTATCTTGTAAACTATTCAAGACTCGCATTTGACACTTTGACAATTAACTTTAACATGATTTTTTGAGTTCACCTAGTAAGTTTAATTACAATCGGAGAGGTGGTTTATTCGGAGAAACATCTTTTATGTTGTTATTGTTATTATTATTACCTTAGAACATATTTTATGTTATTGTTGTTATTATTGTTATCTTATTTTTTCAGATCAGGTGAACTCTTTCATGAGAATCAATCGAAATTTCTTCAAACCGCCAGTCAGTGAAGAAGTGAAGAACCTAGTACGCAACAATTTCACTCGCGAGGTCGAATTTTATCAGTTTTGTAAGCAACGTCTCTACAGGCAATACAGAGCTCTCAAGTTAGCTTCTACCAATCTTCCATCTGTGAACAACCATCTCTAAAGAGAAGGCATCTTTGGTCTATTATTGTGCAAGAACTTTTATAAGAAGTATTTTCGTGATTAATGTAACAATATCGTGACAGCAAAGACAATTAATCGCCTGAATGTAACTTATTCATTCAGCGAAACGTTTGTGAAGCTACGATGAAGAAGCAAGTGTTGATGAGAACATGAAGAGATTTGCTGTTTTGTATCCAAGTTATTGTGAGGTGGATGCATCGTGCAATTCAAAAATAGAGACGCTCTCAATGAGTGCTGAGCAAAGTTTCTGCGAGCAAACGCCGTTTCACGTCACTACTTTTTGAACGAACATTTGAATAAACGTGCAAGTTATAGGTGCATTTATCGTTATAAGAATATCTTGCGATGATTGACAATATTTGCGATAATTTCTGTATTTCGTCGGCGACGGCAAAAATACCGTAAAGACTGTAAAACCGCGACACTTTTCACCATGAAGTACTTACAATCACGCAGACGACAATACAGAGTAACTGTAGAGCATCGTTTTGTAAAGGAATCATAAAACATGTTTGTACTTTCATCGATTCACAATCATTTAAAATAAAGTGCTGCCATTTTAGAGAACAAGTGACCTCCTTTTTTTTATACTTATTCGTTTAATTAATTTTTCTTACCGAACTTAATATTGAATGGCAAAATATCATCCTGTGTTGTTAAATTCGCATAATAAATGATAGTATAGCGGTCGCCGTTTATTACTTCATATTATGTAAATCGTTATATGTATTAGGTCGTTCATTAAGTTCTGCAATTTCTTTGTCCTAAATTGAAATACAAATTTATTGTACTTAACATTTATTAAATCGAAAATGTATTATCTATCTTGATCGACTACCTTCTGCCAACGTTCTGGAAGGGACATAATGCCGCGTTTGTAGAAGTCGCGCGACTTCTGCGTGAAAAAGTTTTCCAAATATATTTGGATATCGTTCACTGAATCAAAGCATTGCCCCTAGAAGCTCGCATTGGAGTGGAATAGATGGTAATCCGAGAGCGTAAGGTCTGAAGAGTATAGTGGGTGCTTCTCAGCCAAAGCACTTCAATTTCTGCTTGGTCACCAAAACAGTGTGTGATTTGGCGTTGACGTAGTAGAATTCGACGCCCTTACTGTTCGCTAATTTCGGCCGCTGTACTGTCTGCTTCAATTTATCCAGCTGAGTGCAGTACTTCTTAGCGTCGATGGTCTGACCACGCGAAAGCAGCTCGAAATACAAGACGCCTCGCCAATCCCACTACATACTCAGTATCAATTCCTTCAGATACAAATCTACTTTGCCGACAGATGATGACGACTCATTCGAACCGTACCACGACTGCTGACGTCAGCTGACGTCAGATGTTGTTGTACATCACCCATTTTTCGTCTCCCGTAACCATCCGTTTGAGAAAGGCCTCCAGCGAGTCCATTTCAGCAGAGAATCACAGATAATGACACGATCCAAAATGTTTTCTCGGTGAGTTCGTGAGGGACCTAAACATCCGTCTTCTTCGTTGTCCCAAGCTGTTTTAATCGCTGCGTAACAGTTGTATGGGCGATACGATGTCTAAGCGCTCCGCGATCTTCCGCGTCGTCAGATGCTGGTCAACCTTAATTGCGGCCAAAATTTGGTCGTCGTCAGTAGTAAATAGACGACCGGAATGGACAACATCGGTGAGGTTCACATCTTTAGAACGAAAGCGTGCAAATCAACTCTGGTAAATGTCAGCGCTTATGGTCGAGTCCCCGTACACGCCACATATCTCATGTTATACGTCCACATCGCTTTTACTCCTTTCTTGAAAAAAAAACAGCAAAATGTGTCGAAAATGCATCTTTTAATCCTCCGTTTTCAATGAATAGCGCGCACACAAAATACATCCAAACACAACAAAGTTTCTGGCGAAATATTAAGCGTTGTCTAACCTGTCTAATATAAAAGGAGTATGCGACAACCTGCGGTTCAAGCAACGCAAGCTATCTTTTTCAACAGACAAACGTCATCTATTGGAAAAACCGCAGAACTTAATGAATGACCTAATATTCTACATTTTTGGAGTAAAATTTTACTTAAGAATAAAAGCTGAATCCATGTAATTCGAGTAATTTTTCACATGCATATAGTAAATTTTCCATTCTGAATCGTCGAGTGAATACTTTCAAGAAAATAAAAAAAATTTTGTTTGACATATTCCACCATCATATGAATTGATTAATCAATTGAACACGAAAAAAATATTTGGTCGAATAAAATAATTTTTTATGAAATATGAATAACTTAATACCTCTAGTTGAAGTTACTAGATTTCAATATAAACTATTATTATATTAAGATTTCTAGTTAATTTAAACAAAATTCTAGTACTTTTGATCGAAATTATTCATATTATTATAAAAAATTGAGTCACTCAACTAAATATTTTTCTTCAAAGGACAATCACTCCTATCCCAGTAAGCAAAGTGAATGCAAACTGTGCCTAGATTGGCAATAAATTTGATCAAATTCTGTACCAAAACTATAGTTATATGTGTCTGCATTCAGCTCATATTTCGATGATAGAACCTGCTAACAGAATTTTATCGCAGATTGGTGGCAAAAACCGAACAGTTCTTTCCATTAAACTGAATGCAGCAAGGTCTGTTCGGTTTCTATTACCAATTTGCTGCTCAAACCGCTCTGTGCGGTTTCCGCCACAAATCTATTCGCATTATCTGTTAGTAGGTTCTATTATATTGGGTTTGGAAAAAAGTTCGTGGCGTTTTTTCCGATAGATGGCGTCAATTGCAAATAACTCAGGAAACACAGATCGCAGCGACACCACTAAACGCTCGTCGGAAAGGTGACACTTCGAGCGTTACTTTGAGTGTATAAACATCGAAATTGGTGCAGTGGTTGAAAAGTTGTTTGTGTTTGAAAATGGAGAAAAGTAATGAAAAATTGCGCTATATTTTGCAATATTATTACGACAAAGGGAAGAACGCTGCGCAGGCTTGTGAAAAAATTTGTGCTGTGTACGGTGAAGGTACTTTATCAAAATCTGCTGCGCGGAAATGGTTCGCTCGCTTTCGTTCTGGTAATTTTGATGTGAAAGATGAATCACGCTCTGGTCGTCCAATCACTGAAAAAGCTGATGAAATTCTTGAAAAAGTCCAAAAAGATAAGCATATCAGCAGTGTCGATATTGGTATAGAGCTAGGCATTGACCACAAAACTGTTTTGAACCAGTTACACAAAGCTGGCTACAAAAAGAAGCTCGATGTATGGGTTCCTCATGAGTTAAGCGCGAAAAACATGATAGACCGAATTAACATCTGCGCTGCTGAAACGCAATGAAATCGAGCCATTTCTGAAACGTGTCATAACCGGTGATGAAAAATGGATCACATACGACAATCGGAAGCGTCAAAGATCATAGACGAGGGATGGTGGGCCGTCACAAGCGTTCGCGAAGCCAGGATTGACGCTGGAAAAGGAGATGCTGTGTGTGTGATGGGACTGGAAGGGAATCGTCCACCATGAGCTACTTCCAGTTGGTCAGACGATTGATTCTCAACTCTACTGTGGACAACTAGAGAGATTACGCCATGCAATTGAAAGAAAACGGCCCGAATTGAATAATAGGAAAGGTGTTGTCTTCCATCATGACAACGCCCGACCACACACTTCTTTGATGACCCGTCAAAAATTACGAGAGCTTGGTTGGGAAGTTTTGATGCATCTACCATATAGTCCAGACATAGCACCCTCAGACTATCACTTGTTCCGATCTCTGCAGAACTCTCTCAATAGAATTAAGCTGGTTTCAAAAGAAGCCTGTGAAAACCACTTGATTCAGTTTTTCAACCAAAAACCACAGAAGTTCTTCACCGATGGCATTATGACTCTACCCGAAAAATGGCGAAACATTATCGATAATAATGGAGCATATTTGGTTTAAATAAATTCATTTTCACACTATAATAAAAGCAGTTGAATTTTACTAAAAAAATGCCACGAACTTTTTCCCAAACCCCATATTTCTAACGACAGTTGGTAACATAATTTAGGACAATAGATCTTGCGTTGGATTTATTGCTTCTTTAGCACCAAAAATGTGTAGCACTGTTCGGAACCTATTTACACACATTTGACTATCTGGATATACAGGGTGTCCGAAAAGTAACGGACCACTTTAATAATTCTTCAGTATTCAAGTTTCAAGGCAAATGATCTGAATAAAAGTTGTAGGGAGTTAAGTGAACTACTTTATGATGATCTTGACTTTGACCTTGATCTCTATTTTTAAGGTCATTTAAAGGTCAACTTGTGTTTTTCAAATGGAAACCCCTATTTTTTACTTCGAATTCTGAAAGAGCGCAAAATCTTACAGTTACGTTCAGATACGTTCAGATATGTATTTTTATGGAGGGTCGAAATGAACTGTAGAGGTCATTTGAAGGTCAAACATGTTATTGGAACGAAATAGCTGGTAGATCGTCGTTTTTATGAAATATGCCCCGAATAGAAGTTGTTGGGATCAAAGAGGGTCATAAGCTGGTGGCCTTGACTTTGACCTTGATCACCATTTTCAAGTTCATTCAAAGGTCAACTTGTGTTTTTTAAATAGGAACACCTATTTTTAACCCCGGATTCTGAAGAGCGCGTTCAGGTTATTGAGTATTCAGATTGTTGTAGGAGTCAAGGCAAACGTTGAGGGTCATTCAAAGAACAAATAATGATTTGACCTTGAGAGCACAGTGTACCGTAACGGAATATGTTGCCAATGTTCACTTGATTGAATAAAATATTAGGTAACCATTGCCTGCGTAGCAGGCTGGATTTTCAGATCCCATGTGATCCAGCCATTGAAGGCAAGATCATAATGATCCAGCCACTGAAGGCAAAATCGTAATGATCCAGCCACTGAAGGCAAGATTGTAATGATCCAGCCATTGGAGGCAAGATCGTAATGATCCAGCCACTGAAGGCAAGATCTAACAAGGGGAGGAAGCATCGATCGGGAAACAGTTTGGAACAAAACTTACGGAGTTAATAGTATTTGACTACTAATAACTCATGGCAATAGCATACAATGCAGTACCTCTTCATTTTCGAAAAAAAATGGTCTAAAGAAAAGAGCTAACAAATTGTACGAGTTAGTAAGAAGGGTATTTAACGAAGCGGCGTAGCGGAACAGCGAAGGTAATAGACTACCGAGTTGACGGCTCAGGTTCGATCTCTGCTGTATGGTTTTTTTTTTAATTCTGTAAGCATAAAAGTGAAACAAAAAACATTAACAAATAATAAAACTGCGTTCCTTAAATATATTAGTGTTTGTTAAATATATTGTTAATGATTTATATTGTAAAAAAACCGTAAATCTTATCTATAAAATATATAGTGTATGAGAAAATTTTTATATAATAATTGCAATGGAAATAGGAGTAAAAATATATTTTCGCTGGAGGATTTTTAATAATTCATTACTCTCTTAAATAGAATTCGTATATACGAGAGCATTAGTGACTTCACCTTTTGAAAATCTTCATTTTCAAAAGATCTTCTAGCGATTCTACATCAACTATTTTGCTTGTTGAAGAATTCTCTGACATTGTTATGATATATGTATTTAATTTAAATATGATCACCGAACTGCTCTGTATCACTAGTAAACGCACACTGCTGCTTGCTCTATTGACGATTGTTCTGACCCTCGAATAATTTCGTCATTTCTAACGGTCGTTTAGAATGACACAAAGGAAGTTTTTGGAGGGGGATTGCCAGAAGAGATAAAGAGCTTCAACACAACATAGAGAGTTGTAACAGAAACAAATGTTTTATATATACGATATAAGATTACGAAAAATTATCTCATACTAGTTTAATAGCACTTCTATATATTTCATAACAATATTTTTATTCCTATTTCCATTGTAATTATTATATAAAAATCTTCTCATACACCAGAGCTGGCCACAATCTGCACATTTCGGGCGAAATTCAGTAGGTGACGTCTACCGTCCCCCTCGCACTGCTCCGCGCTCAGTGGCTAGGGCGACGATCGTGATGCGTTCAGGCCCGTCGCTGTATAAGAAATCGGCTGAGACGTACCCTTGCGACATATTCGATATATGCGATATATCATTAAAATTGTTTCCTCGTTTAATAATCACTTTAAAATAAATATGTTTACGTGTTTTATAAATAAATATATATATATATATAATATAGCATATGACGTCCTTAGGATTATCTTGAATATGTCCTAGGACGTCCTGGGACCAGGTGGGGACATTCTTATATCCATGCGTCACCCTGAGGATGCCCAAAGGACGTCCCATTCAGGACGCTTTTGGTACATTCTCAGGACATGTTCAGGAAAGCACGAGGATGTCCTCGGAACAGCCACAGGACGAATATTCAGAAGAGTATAAAAGTGTTCAATATGAGGTGCTAAGGGCATCCTGGAGACGTTCTGTGGATCGGATTTACAGGACACCTTTATAACATTCACAGGTCATACTCAGGAGAGAACAAGAATGTTTTCGGAACGCTTTTAAGATATCTTCAGGACAAATTCAGGACAACGCAAAGAGATTGTCGAGAGAGCCATAGGACGTCTAGTACAGTCATACTTGTGTACGTGTGTGTGCGTATATAGAAATTTCATCAATTCCGATTATAAATGAGCTATATACAGAGTGTCTCAAAAGTAACGGACCACCCTAATAACCCTATAATATTGAAGTTTCAAGGAAATCTGAATAAAAGTTATAGGGATTTAAGTGGCCTACCTTATGATGACCTTGACTTTGACCTTGACCTCTATTTTCAAGGTCATTTTAAGGTCAACTTGCGTTTTTTTAATGGCATCCCTTATTTTTTTATTACATTATTTTTTCTGCTAGTTAATTTGAACAACTTTTGTTTAAAACATTTTTCTATTTGTCTAATATTTTTTTAGATATTTCAGGAAGACGTGACTTTTGGAAATTTCAAAACCATCAAATTAACAAAAATCAGGGCGCTATTGTAACAATATATTCTTGAGATTAAATAAAGCAAAAAAGTCTAGTACCACTTTTTCTTCCAACAAATAGTTAGCGAGATATCATAAGTTAAATATTGAAAAAGTTATCAAGTTTTCCTCAAATATCTCAAAAACTATTAGACAAATTAAAAAATGTTTTAGACGAAAGTTGTTCAAATTAACTAGTAGAAAAAAACAGTGTAATAAAAAATAAGGGCCCCCATTTAAAAACGCAAGTTGCCCTTCAAATGACCTTGAAAATTGAGGTCAAGGTCAAAATCAAGATCATCATAAGGTAGCTCACTTAAATCCCTACAACTTTTATTGAAATCATCTTCCTTGAAACTTCAATACTGAAGAGTTATTAGGGTGGCCCGTTATTTTTGGGACACCCTGTATATATTTCTCTGATATATATATATTTGTTATAAATAATATCAAGTTACTAACTGAACATAAATCTTTGCAATATAATCTTTGTAATACAATAAACTATAAATAAATAAACTTATAATTCCACTTATAATCCATCGCAAAAATAGTGTGTAATAAAATAATTTTTAAGCTCCTTGGAGCTTAAATTAAACGTAAAAATAATTTTATAGAGGATTCACACTGCATTCGATGTCCGACGTATCGACAATCTGATATCTAATATTAGAACAGCTTAAAGAATACAACGTTGTTAAGTCTTTCTTAATTAGAGTCGTACCAAGGGCTGCTTTTGTCCGGGTGTGAAATTATTCATCGCTGCCCTGAGGCAAAATTTTTGATGACATTTTTCTGCAAACAATCTTGCGGAATTTTGGATGACCTTTTTTGTAGAATGACCACCCAAGACTTTTCAAATATTTCCGTCATTCGACTTATAAATATTTTTTTTATACTAATACATTACTGACGGCCTTTGATTGTCTAGGTACAGCGCACTCCTTGCATTCCCGTTTAATACAACTCTGCATATAATCAAACAAGTTATGCAAGACTTATCCGTCTACTTTCGTCATATGCTTCAGTACCAATGACATATAATAATGTGTAAACATGTATGTATGCGAGCTTTTTCTTTATAGCTTTTTCCTTATAGCTCGCTCGCTCCTCGTCATTCGTGTTCGCTCGCTCTTCGTCGCGTTCGCTCGCCTTTTGTCGCTTGCGCTCGCTCGCTCCTCGTCGTTCGCGCTCGTTCACTCCTCGTCGCGCGCGTTCGCCTCTTGTTGTTTACGTTGCCCCTCGCCGCGCGCGCTCGCCCACTGCCACTCGCAGACTCAGCCTGTATCAAATGTCTACGTGCTTACTGCGGCCGCCCTCCGCTCTCTACGCGCTCGTTGGCTCACATGTTTTAATTAATAACTCGAACTATTGGCAATTTGACATTATGGTACATGACTTTTCTTCTTGGCTACACCCAATCGATTTCCAACTTTCGTCTGCATGATCAGCTATCAAACACCCTGTATAGGGTGTCCGGTAATTAGCTACCAACCCGAAATGTTAAAGTAGATTAGGTTAAGACAAACATAAAAGTCTGATACTGTTTTGCGAAATTCGCAATAATTATCGAGTTATTAATGACAGAAATCTGAGGAATGGGAGCGCGCCGATATAGATGATTGAAGAAGCGTTGCAACTGCTTAGGCCACAGCGCGGCCCAGTCGATCCATAAACTGTTGCCAGTGCGCGGCGAGGGGAAGAACAACGCGCCGCTATTCGTTGTTTTATTTCGCCTCACTTACGTCTCACGCCGCACGCCATAACAATTGCTGAGTCGACTGGACCACGCTGTAACCCGAGAGAATACGACGCTTCTCCAATCATCCATCTCAGCGCGCGCTCATTCGTCAGATTTCTATAATTAATAATTCGATAATTATTGCAAATTTCGCAAAACGGTATGAGACTTTTATGTTTGTCTTAACTTAATTTATCTTCACACTTTGGATTGGCAGCTAATTACCGAACACCCTATATATACAGAAAGTCCCATTATTGTAATATACCATCTCCATAGGGGCGTAGAGCTAAGCGAGAGGAACAAAAATGTCTCCCCTCTATTTAGCGATATCTCGTATATTTTTTAGTAATAACCGCGTAAAATTTGATGTTTGTCAGGCCCATCGCGTCCTACAGACACTCTGAGATTACGTCTTGGCACGTTGATGCCGCGCGACGTTAGTGTTATCGCTCAACTTCGACACACAGCTCACCGCGGAGCGTCTGTAGGCCGCGATGGCGTGACCAACGCCAAACTTTACGCAGATATTACTAAAAAACTATATGAGATACCGCTAAATAGAACAGGACTTTTTCGCTCCTCTCGCTTAGCTCTACGCTCCTATGGAGATAGTGTGTTACAATTATGAGACACCCTGTATAGACACACTCACATACACACATACAGGGTTCTTAAAAAGTCTTCGAACGATAAAATATCTCGAAAGCAATCAGTTTTTGAAAAAAATGTTTCCGGCAAAAGTTGTAAGGTTTAAAATGATCTATTTACTGATCTTATCACTTTGACCTTGGCTAGCGTCAACAAGGTCAGGGCAAAGTCACCTTGAACTTTTCAAATGAAACGCCCTACTTCTTTTGGCATATTTTTATAACGTATTTCAAGAGCTTTCCAAAACACTACAACAAAGCATTTTTTTGTTAAATACATCCCGAGTTATGAAGTTACATATTCAAAGTTACAGTACCGTCGGCATTAGCATTGCCCAAGGTGTAACGTGTGGAGGTTACACGATCGGATTTACTCCTCTTGTGCGTACGTGCGTGCGTCACGCTTTATTCGATTGCTAAGGTCTTCCAAATTACGTGGTTTTGTCGTTTTACGTGGGAAGCATCTCTCATCACTTTAGAAGAAATAAACAATTTGCTCAGTCATTTCTATGAACGTTTAGCTCATTGTCAAATGGTAGAAGGAAGACAATTTTGAACATTTAATTATTTGAAGAATGTTGCGCATCTTAAAAGATGAGATAAAGTCACTTTACACAACAGAAAGGGTTTGGAGTCATGAAATACTATGGGAGTGACGAACCATAGGATCCTTGTTTCTGTTACATAACACGCAGACGCACACACACACACACACACACGCACACACACATACACGCGCGCACACACACATACACACATACACACACACACACAAGAGGTGTAAATCCGATCGTGTAACCTCCACTCGGTACATCTTGGGCAATGCTAATACCGACGGTACTGTAACTTTGAAGTTTCATAACTCGGGATATACTTAAAAAAAATACTTTGTTGTAGTGTTTTGGAAAGCTCTTGAAATACGTTATAAGAATATGCCAAAAAAAAGTAGGACGTTCTATTTGAAAAGTTCAAGGTGAAAGGTCTTTGCCCTGACCTTGTTGACGCTAGCCAAGGTCAAACTGGTGAGATCAGTAAATAGATCATTTTAAACCTTACAACTTTTGCCTGAAACATTTTTTCCAAAAACTGATTGTTTTCGAGATATTTTATCGTTCGAAGACTTTTTGAGAACCCTGTATAATGGACGTCCAATGGACATCCGTGTGCTATCTGGGTTATGACTTCTATGTTCTACCTGGGATAAGAGCAGAGTTTTGTGCTGCATAGCTGCATATTCTTCCGGGAGAGCTGAAGGCACGTTCCCAGTGAGCAAACAAAAAAGTTACAATCTACATTGCAAAATAACTTCGCAAATATTAGCAATCATGTTTCAAATTTCCGTAGAATGATCGATCTTTAGTAATACATGCCCAGATAGCACCGGACATCCAATGGATGTATGTTTCACGTCCAATTTATGTCCGTACGTCCGATTTATGTCCGTGGACATAAATTGGACGTAACAAGGATGTCCTTATTGGACATCGGATCTGTAGAACGTCCGATGTACGTCCATCGGACGTCCTATGTCCGAAGTTATGACAAACGTACGTCCTATGGACGTCTTTTGTAAAAAAAATGGACATATAATGGACGTTCAGTGGACATCCGTGTGCTATCTGGGTCATCAATGTCAAAATTATTTAGCAAATAAAGACACTTAAATTTAGCGTAAGAGAGGTCATTACTGATTTAATTATAGCCTATGTCTTTATCAAAGAAGCTGGTCTTTCAAGATTCCCGTCAAACACAACCTGAAACCGTGTGCAAAGTGTTACGTTCCTAATCTCCGTATCTTTCCAGCCCTAATCTGTTTACCTATGTCTCGAACATTCCTATCCCTTTTCAAATGTTGCTTTATGACCATACCTACTTTTATGACCCCATCCCTTTTTTTGATAATAGTTTCCCTCTAAACTTCTCACGAAACCGTTCGTCAGTCTCCAGTTGTCTTCCTTCCCATAAGGAACACCTCCCGTTCCTCTCGTAGCATATTCCTCTCGTAGAATATATTTAAATACATATATTCGAATAAACTCGTCTCTCTATAAAAAGTGTCTCTCCCCTATTCACAAAGAAATTATTATAATCATTATAATCGTTTCGAACGTAATGTCGGAACATAACAGAAGTCGTAGGATCACGTGAGATATATCTCATCGAGCACGAAATTATTTCGTCCATGTAAGATCGGTGGCTGTCAATTGAACGTGCAGTATATATCTACTTACTTAATAACACTATACTGTGGTAGAAACGTGCGGCAATAAGCGTTGTGATTTATTTTCAGTTCCAAACAGACGAAACCGAGGACGGTGCCTGCAAAACATTTATAGGTTAGATCTTCATACGAGAATGATAAAAATGGAGTTGGCTTTATTGAGAAGTAAATTTCGCGGCTCAATGCTGGGTGTTTTGGTCGGCGATTGCATTGGAAGTCCGTACGAAGGCGAGGAGACTTTGACACCCGGCATGAAAACTGTTCTACAACAGTCTTTTGACAAATTGGAGAGAACGGAATTTAAAGGTTTGGAGGTTAACAGGTTTGCTTCTGTTTTTTTTTCTTTTGCACGCAATTTCACGAATCTTAAATAACAAATTTGAATATTATTCGCGGTTACAGTTTACAGTGTCTTATTATGAGTGTATAGAAGTCTCTACATATGTGTCTTGCATCTTTGTTCGTTCAATAAATCTTATTTCTGACATGGACAACTTTTTTAACTATATAGCGCCTGTCATGCAGTTTACAGATGACTCAGCAATGACACGATCTTTAGCTGAGTCGTTAGTTGAAAGAAAATCTTTGGATATTGTTGATGTAGCAAGACGATTTGTGAAAAGTTATTATCAAGAACCCACTCGTGGTTACGGTGCCAGTATTGTAACTGTTAGTATTCTACATAATCGTTTTAATTCAGTTGTGTACTGTAAAGAAATAATACAATATAGCTAAACCATAAGTATATATTACTATATATATTTAAATTTTTTCTCAGCATATTATTAAATACAAACTTTTTTACAAATGCAAAACATGTATATATATTGTGAGATTCACTCTACTGTTGTAACTATAATTTGTCTAATAGTTATAACTCATAATAACAAAAAATGGTAATTTTCTGGTCACGTAGGTATTTCAGAAATTACGGGCTAACAAATTAACAGATATAATTAGTCCAGCAAAAGATCAATATAATGGTTTAGGTTCATTTGGTAATGGTGGAGCAATGAGAGTTGCTCCACTGTCTTTATTTTGTTACAATGACCACAATAAACTCATAGATTATGTTAAGAAGGAAACTGAAATTACACATACGCACAAGTGGGGAATAAACGGTGCTATTTTACAAGTAATTGCAAATTGATATTCATTAATAAAAGAATATTTGTATCTCTCATGACTAGATGTTTATCTCATAAATCTGTTGATTTCACAGGCTTTAGCAGTTCAACAAAGTATAAACTTAAATCCCAGTGAAGAATTAAATGTTTCTAGTTTTGTTGACAATCTCATTGACAAAATGGATAAAATTGAAGCTGATCAAACAGAAGATTAGTACGTGTGACATTCTGATATTATTAAATTTGAATGAATATATCAGCAGCAATATATAAATGTTTCTTTTCAACAGTTTAGAATTAGACGAGGGACTCTATAAGGATCAATTGTGCACAATAAAGGAATTGATTTCTGAGAATGGTGATCGTCCCCATGACGAAAAAGTAGTTCAGACCTTGGGAGTTGGTCTCAATGCTTTGTACTCTGTTCCTACCGCAATCTTTTGTTTCCTAAGGGCACAAAGACCTATCAAGGGTATAAAAACAGACAATCCTCTCAGAAGAGCTATTCAATATGCTGTAAGTTATAAGTTCAATTGGAAACTCTACCACAATATCACATAAATTATAAATCTTGCATGAAAAGAAACAAAAGTGCTATTGATATTGTTTAATATATATTGTTTATCTATTTTATAGATTACTCTAGGTGGTGATACAGACACAATTGCTAGTATGACTGGTGCGATAGCGGGTGCTTTCTACGGCGAAGAGAAGTTCAGCCCATTATTATTGGAACACTGTGAAGTGTCGGAACAGTTCCGTGAATTGGCCGACAAATTACTGGACGTAGCTACACAGGAATAATTGTTTAAATTCGTCGTATTTGTAATTACTGTGAGATATACATAATGTTAGCATTTCATTAATGTATGATAATTTTTTTGATATAGATAACTATACTGTATAGTTATTTGTATGCACTTTATTTACATCACTTGAACTATGGACAACAATTTTCTATTTAAGCGACACATTTATAATTAAATATTAAATTATAACTATGACACGGGAGATTATCTGCTTTTCACGATATATACTTTATATTTCCTGAATGTGGTGCCAAGTATATTTTTATAATTAATAATGAATTAAAAGTGGTAACTCTCTGAGCTGTTTAGAAACAAGTCTATAACTAGTGGTAACAATTTTTCTACCATTCATTTTCTATATAAGTCTTGAATCGACATTAATTTACTTATATGGCTATTATAAGCTCATGATACAAGTTATAAAATAATATCAACATATGTAACTTACATAGTCAAGAATGTAAATAGAAATGCAGTTGAAATCGTTTGAATTCTAGTCGATTTTTATTCTTTATCTTTAACTCGCGATCACAGAAGTTTTAAATATAAGCATGGTCACATAATCAATCTATAACTTTATTATAAATAAAGCGTAAGCTAAAAGTACAAAATTCATTATGTATACTATAATGATGACTAACAAGACGTTGATCGTAAATAACAATGATATGCGTATCATAAAGTAATATTTTACATAAAGTTATATAAAAATGTACATAAAGTTTGTTAAAATAAAACAATTGTTCTTTTTAAGAATTTTATATTTTTAGCATATATTTAACAATATTTTTTGAAACTTTGTTCCGGTTTAATATATTTAAAGTTTCATGTCCTTATTTATTCAGATAAATAGATATCTTAATATTAAAAAACGTGAGGACTTGCGATAAACAAAGTTTACAGATATGTTAATCATATAAATCTGATGAGCCAAAAAGGCATTGGAAGGATCCGACATTCTACTATATAAATATATATTTCTTCATAAATTTGTGTGAAGATACCAAAATAGACAAAGGTTTGGCACCTCTTGATCCTTTTCTCATAATGTAGTATAAAGCCCTAAACACAATGTCAGGCAACAGGCAGTAAGAATAAAAATAGACCAATCACAATAGATTATTCTTGTAATAGTCGATTGTGATTGGTCTATTTTTATTCTTATTGCCTGTTGCCTGACATTGTGTTTAGGGCTTTATTTTATACTTCTAAATGTCTTTTTTATGCATTTTCACACAGACTAACCATAAAATTTTATGTACTACTTATTATTACAAACAATATAAATGTCATATACTCTGACCAGCAATTATGAACATAACGAAAATACTATGATAACATATATGTTTATAAATTGACATAAATTTTACGTGATTTTTTGGTGAATATGCATGAAAGATAATATGCATAATCCCAAAAAGTATAAAAATGCAAATAGTAAGATAAGGTAAATTCCAATTAGTAATTAAGTCACAATTAACAATTTCAATGTGAAAGATAATAAATTAATAATATATCCATTAATCTAAGTATACAAATTTGATTTTGTTGGAAAAAATTTGAATATCTGAGATTCGAAGTATTGAGATTGAAGTATTATGTTTCTAATTTATGAAAATATTTTAATTTATTTATAATATTTTCTCAAAAATGACTGAAGTATTGAAGTATTTAATGATGTGATTTAAATGTCCCGGAAAATCACAATTCCAGAAATTGGTTGATTGGTTGGTTCTATATCTGGCTCCGATTTATACCAGCAGAGGTACGTTCCAAAATCAACCTTGGTTAACTTCGGAGGTTAAAGGAGTGGTAGGAGTATAGGTTACTTGAGGTACTTCTACCGTAGAAGTTATTTTGGAACGAGTATGTAGCTACCATGGTGTAAGAATATAAGGTGAACCATTGCGCATAATGGCGGCTGAATGTAGCAAGAACCAATCAGAAATTTGCCCCAAAAGTAGCGCTGAGTTTAAACACAGTTTTGATGAAATGTTGAATAGTATTATAGATAAATGGAAATATATAAAATTATATATATGTATGTAATTATATATACATATGTAATAAAATTATAATATAAAAACGTAATAACTAATGGAAACTTGTAATATAAGTATAAAATAATGATAAGTGATTATCTATATTGAGTAATATTGATATAATAATAGATATTACGCTATGTTGTAAAATGCAAAATATATTTTAAACATATAAGATAAATGTACTATATTATATTTTATGTTACAGGAAGAAGCATTTTTACATGTTATATAAAAATTGTAGCTGTTAGTAATAATTGGAATACCATAAGAGAAGTTATGTAGGGAAAGATAAGATGTGTAAGGTGTATAAAGACATTACAAAATTACAATATATATCGAGTTTTTTTTATTAATAAATATGTCATTTATTTATTGTTTATTACATATTTTATATAATTTTCTATTTTTTCTTAGAATATTTTTGTTTGTAATTTCTTTATTTATTTTGCATAAACGAATATATGTCCTAGTACGCACTAAACAAGCAACAACTTCTCTTGCAAAATTGTTATTGGTTTTGTTACATACAATGTCCGTTAATCTGTCAAAAATAAATGCTTCTTTATTAAAAGTATCGCTATGAAATAATTTAAATTCTCATTCCATAATATTAGAGGCTTCTTGAAAATCTTCTGAAGGATAAATACAATTTTCCCTGGATATAAAGGAAACCTAAAAATTGGATTGTGCATTTGGAAAAGTTTTTGTAGAACACCCTAACTCTGTAAATTTATTTCTATATCTATGTGCAACATAGCCGGCAATATATAATAGGGCATTTCGTTCAATCATGTCTTCAGCATCTATTCGTTCGAGGTCATACAATAAATTAGCTTCATCTTTGTTAGGCTCATACGTACTTAAATTACACACTAGAAACACGAAAAATTAAAATATTTCTATGTTGATCATATTATATATTGTACCCCAGCAGCACAAATCTTCAAAGGACGTTCTAAGAACGTTCTAAGCACATTCATACATCCTAAGAACATTCTAAGAATATTCTCTGAAGATTTTGTGCTATCTGGGACTGCTATGTTGCTGCAATAAACAGTAAAGAAATAATATTTCTCAAGAATACTAACGATATCATGATTAAAAATAAAGTTGTACACATAATAATTATAATTACGGAAACCGTTCAATATTTCATACCTTCTCCACTTTCTGTTTCCATAGAATTTTCTTCTCTTTCTTCTCTTTGTTCATTAGTGTTCATATTTTGTGTCATGTATGTTAATGTTGAACCTATTAATACATCATTTTCCATCATACTTTAATTTTCTAACATAAGCTGTAGAGAATTTGCATCATAATTATCCGACGAATGTAAGTCTTCCATATCAATAAGCATTGAAGAGTTAGAATCCCTTTCCGTATTTTCCTATGATGAAATGAGATGTCCAGAATGCTTCCCTAAGATATACCACTTTAAACGATGTTGTATTTCGACTGGCGTCGGATGATCGTATGCTGCACCCATGGATCTCAGATATGCGAAAAAATTTTCAAGAACGTCTTGATTTAATCGTCTAGTGAGTATATATTTGATTTCAAACTCTTCGGACGAATACTTATTTTGAATATGTATAAACATTTCTCGTAAGGATGTATTGCATATTACAGTTCCTTTTTGGAATTGCAATAAAGCTCGTTTTTTTCTAACTCGCATTTCTTTTATAAATATATCCATTTCATTAATTATTTTATTTTGTTCCTCAATATTTATACCATAAGCGTGCAAGCCACTGTGATGACCATATTGTAATGTGCTATTAAATACATCGAACCAGTCGTTAAATAATTTTAATACATAAGCGGTTTGTTCCCAGTTATCAGAATGCAAAAGACCATTTGCTTTACACCATCAAATAGCCAATGCATTTGTATTGGAGAATACTTGAACTGCTAGTTTTACTTTTTGACGTTGTGTCCCTTTAGCATCAAGGTGTGTTCTACTTAATTTATGGACAATTTTTAAATCGCCTGTATTAAGTTTTAATAATTCTTCTAAACACCTTGCATCCACGAGATTATCTTTCCATCAAAACCCAGAATTAAATAGGTTGTTCCTTGCTGATTTTAGTAAATGAGGGACGTCAGCATAAAAGAATATTTTTGATGACTTGTCTACGGGATGTATAACGAAATATTGCTTTTCACTGCTTATGTCGTTGGGATGATTATTAGTATTGATTCCAATATTAAATTCTCTCCATAATTTTAAATTCGTCGGTCCCATATCATATACAATAGCTACAACAACATAACTAGCCAAATACAGATCTTGCGTTAAAGTAAATAAAATGTTGCGAGACATAGGTTCATCAAAATTGTAATAAATGGGTTGTTTCCAAGTGTTAAATAATCCTCGAGCCATAACAAACTGACAAGTTTTGTGAGGCCCATACACTTTTTGTTCTTTTCTTTCTAGATCCAATTTATTAGATACATACAATTCGTCGAAGCTCAAAATGGTTAATTTTTCCACCGTAGAGAGATTATGTCCTTTATCATGCATGATTCTTAACACGTCTTTTAAAATGCCAGGTGAAATACTGAACGATGCCACCCAATTTTGTAATGTTGATTCACACGGCAATGGCATTTTTTTAATATTCCTTAAATATCTGTACGCTTTTGGACTCAATGATCTTAGAGCAATTGCAGATATGATATCCTCGGATAACCATTTTTTACGAGTATTATTCGGTGACATAATACTTTTTACCTATCCTGGTATTAATACCTTTCGCAACGTATTAACGACTATTTTATTTGCTTCTTTCCTTTTATCTATTTCCATTACCTGTATCATAGAAGCATTTTGCATAACACTTGTCTGCAGTTGTTCTACTTGTGTGTTTAATTGCTCATTTTTCTTTTTGAGTTGTTTGTTCTCTTGTAAAAGTTTCTTATTTTCATTTTCAAAACATCGTAACTTTTGCAATAACGTCTCAGATACATCATAGTTTCCACTTTTTTGGTTTCTACAAAACGCAAAAATATATTATTTTCACGCATTATTTTACAAAATAATACTTTAGTATTACAACTAAACTCAGCATACGCACTAATTCTATTGTGCAAGTTTAAAATACAAGTACGTACTCATTTTCTCTTAGCACGTCGTTCAATGATATAAGAGAGTTCTGTTTATCAAAATTATCTTCTTCACTATATATATTTTCCTGGATACATTGTTCAATCTGTAGACAAGTGGATAATTCGCTCATTTGCTGTTTAGATGTTTCGGTGTTTAACCTGACAAATAATTACATTGTTAAATAATTAACAATAATAAAAGTATTACATTTAGCAATATTCATAATTTGATCTTAATATTTCAGAAATTATAAATAGCACTTAAAGTGGTATATAATGCATATAACACAATGACATAAAGAAAGACTGTACATACTACTGTTAACAATGGCAAAATACATACATTTTTCCTGTCATTACAGAAACATGATCACTATCTGACATTGTTCCTTTTTTGTTTCTTCTTTTCCTGCTTTTATCCAATAGTAACATTTTTGTGGGAATAGAACCCTCCTTGAGTCGTTTCATTTGTTTCATACATGTTTTAGTAGATTTTGGCTGTGTCCATCGCATTACAAAACAGTTATCTTCAAAATGAAGACTGCATATCCTTCCTATAATTATATAATATTCTTATTATACTCTATATAGTCCTATAATATACCTATGATAAAATCATATCACAAAAAGTAAGTTTTATTTGCAGTTATTGGTTGCTTTGCATTTTCTTACTCTATCACAATTTGTGTCTAGTTAATGAAAGTTGCTAAATCATTGATACACAATTACATTTATTAAATAGAAGACATATATAATATGACTGGTATTTATAGTTTGTGATCTTATATTTAAAACATCCTCAAACATGGATAAACCTCAAGTGGTTTATTCTCTTGTTAGCTGAATTAGTTGTACTAGTACAAGAAATTTATGCAAACTTAGATATAAAAATCTTGTATGTATACTTTATTTGCTTCAATGTGTATGTATATTTTATGCATTAGTGCAGCCAGTTCAGTTAAAGAAAAGAGACAAAAAACTGATTGAATATTGCCTTACAGATCAATTAGCTATGTTATATTATATAGAAAGTATCATTGATATCAACTCACCAGAATTAATTTTTATGTTGTCTTCACTCTTTCCACAAGCATTTATCCATTTCTCTAATATCACTTTTTCCTTTGAAAATCTAAAGAATGTTATATTTTTTTTGTCGGTGTAAAATGTACGACTTTTGCAATTCTTTATACAACACGATGGCATTGTATCTGTAAACATAACCAAATATGCAATAGATTACTGTTGACATAGCATTTACAATTGTTTTATTTTAAACATTTGCTTTATTTGTTCAGTTCGGTAATATCCAACTTATAATTATCCTTATAATTATATATATACACTGATCTTGCGTGCAAACAATAAAAAACACCGAAAAAAATACACTCAACTAAAATACCTCACTTGTTTCAATGTGTCGCCATATTGGTGTTTTAAAGTTTAGGGCAAATTTCTGATTGGTGGCTACTACGCATCCACGGGAATGGTTCACCTTATATTCTTACACCATGGTAGCTACACTACTGAACTGATACAGCTATAAAAAGAATAAATTATATACAATTATGGCAGCAAAAGTAAATAGAAGACGCATAATAACATTCAGTGCATTTGCTGCAAGTAGATATTTCTTAAATAGTATTATCGAAATAGTTTGTGATAGTGATAATGAAGATGACGAAGAATTAATGCAACGCCTAATAAATATAGAAAAGAATGTAGCAATACGTGGCAGCCTGAGGAAAGTAGTCCGTATTGAAGGTTATGTTGAACATATCATACCATGGTTTTCCGGAAAGCAATTTTCCGCTCGCTCCTCGTTGCGCGCGATCGCCTTTTGTCGCTTACGCAGTCTATTATATATGCTATGGAATAAATAAATATCAATTCTAACTTTTTAGGTTATGCGCATATTACTATTAAACCAGCGGCACACGGTGCTTGTTTTCATGCTGGATTGCTTGTTGGATGAAAATACTGCGTTCTGATTGGTGCATTTCCGAAGATGGATGGAAATGCACCAATCAGAACGCAGTATTTTCATCCAGCAAGCAATCCAGCATAAAAACAAGCACCGTGTGCCGCTGGCGTTAGAGGAACTGTAGTCACCATTAACCATTTACGCCACTTACAGACTTTAAATCGTATTAGTTAACGTATGCAGTATGAACAGCATTTCGCACGGCTTCGTACCATCGGATAACGGACGACGCACCTCGGATGCAGTGTGAATCCAGCAAATCCAGCAATAGTGAATCCAGCAAATGTCGGAATGTCATGAAAATTTGACACGTAACTTCTAAAGGTTGGTACTAACTGAGAATGGTATGCATTTGTTATTAGAGGCGCCATTTGTTGATTAGTCTCGGGACTTATTAATCGATGTGTTATACTTTATAAACTAAATGAACGTAGTTCACACTCCCGCAAAATTAATCGACTCTCGCACATTCGAGAGGACCTCGATTGCCTACACGATTGGACACAATCAACCGGTGCAAAGCTTTATCTGATGAATTTTAGATCCAACCAATCATTACTCTGTCCTGTACACAATCGTGATGTGTCCAATCGGACCACCCGCACAGTCGATACAATTTTCCTCCTGCGTTCTGATTGGCTTATCTTTTCTATTGCATCGTATTGTAGACAGAACTAGCGTAAGCATCTTTACACCAAAATCGTTACTTTTACTCCTACTCCTTACTTCATCTGTTGTAAATCGGGCCTTATTGTTGCAGCTATTGTAGATGGTCCTTTAGGCTGCGATCCCATAGACCGATACTTTCTGCGTAACGCGTATCGCGTAACCAATCAGAGGCATAACAGAAAACGCTGAACGTCTCTGATTAGTTAAGCGATATGTGTTACATGGGAAATATCGGTCCATGGAATTGCAGCCTAAAGCTTGGTCTACAATGGCAGTAAGCAGTAAAGGTCATTCTACAATACGTGTCGTAAGTTGTAAGCCGTAAGAACTGACCAATTATAGCCGATTATTTTTGTAATAATCGACTGTGATTCGCCAATTCTTACGGCTTACAACTTACGACATGTATTGTAGAATGACCTTCAGAGTACGCGTAGCAGTAAGAAATAAACCAATCACAGTCGATTATGACAAAAATAATCAACTGTAGTTAGTCCATTTCTTAAGCGTCGTCTACAATGGCAGTAAGCAGTAAGAAGTAAGCGTAAGCGGTAAGAAATAACCAATCACAGTCGATTATGACAAAAATAATCAACTGTGGCTGGTCCATTTCTTACTGTTCATGCTTTCTTCTTACTGCTTACTGTCATTGTAGACCACACTTTACTGTTCACGCTTTCTTTTTACTGCTTGTGGCCATTGTAGACCACGCTTTACTGTTCACGCTTTCTTCTTACTGCTTACGGCCATGTACTTGCTTCGGCAGTACATATACTAAAATTGGAACGGCCATTGTAGATCACGCTTAACAGGAGAATCGTTATTATGACTACTTTGGCCATGTTCCAAAATTCACTGCCAGTACTGAAAATATATAGTTTGTGTCACGCAAACTATAACTTTTGAGCGCTGGCAGTGAATTTTGGAACACGGCCTTTCAAGATTCTCTTTGCTGGGCATCACCAGACCTGTGAAAATCGGTGTTAATCGGCACTTATCGGCAACCTTCGTTAGTAGTCGGGTAACTGTTGAATTGAAAGTTGTATCGCGGAAGCACGTGTTTGATATCAATAGAACAATTTGCTTGCGTATGAAGTCCTTCATTTAGGATTTTTAATTATCTCACATTTAATACATATTTTTATAAACAACCATTAAAATGCCACGCTCAACGAGAGATTCGGATGAGGAAATAGAACCAAAGATAGGTGCGTATTGCAATATTCGCAATTCTGCTGTTATGCGCATGAGACGCATATCAAGAGCGACCATTGCAACGGTCGATTCGCCGTCGGAAAGTCTATCGTTCGCTGACAGCGGATTATCTATTCCTTGAGAACATCGTAAGATGATTCTATCTCTGCTCGTTCTTTAATTTCTCATAAATATTTCCGTCACTCTTCTGAAATCGTCGTTACTAAACTATTTTAATGTTCAACGCTTCTGGGGGATTGAACGCCCAGTTTTTTTCGATGACCTGACGGTTATATGTTTATTATTGATTTAATTAATATTTACATTGCATGTCATTTGTAAAGTAAGGAATATATAGTTTGTATAACCATTTTGCTTCTATTTGTTTCCTTTTAGTCATTGATATAACTTGAGATACATATAAAGAAAAATATGAAATCCAGATTGTTATAAATCTCATATAAACTAAACATTGCGCTGTTATATCATTATTGTTCACTTTATTATCACATATTTTGCTTTAATATTTTTTAGTTTTGTTTGTCGATCTAGTTTATTTAATTTTATATTCTATTTTATATTGTGTTGCTATAGGCCGTAGAACACGACTGCTTACTACATCATCCATGATAGATTCTCCAATACGCCGTAGCAGCAGAATAAAACAGTCTATCAAGTTGCAAAAATCTTCGCCAGATTACGAAAGTGATACCAGTGTTAGCAGTAGTCAAGCAATTAGAACTACTAGACAACGAACAGCTACTATGGATTCTATCACCACAGAGACATTAAGAGGACGTTTGAGAAAACCTTCCATTTCTTCAGAAACTAGTGAAGTAATAGATATTGATATAGAAACTCCATCCAAAAGACTTACAAGGAGAAGTTTAGCCAATACAGCACCTAGTACACCTACTAAAGTCAGTGCTCGAATAGCCAGGTATCATTAATGTATCAGTATGTGTTTTTCTTTGCTTTGTTTTTGTTATATAATAGAAACAAATTATATATTATATTTGTGATGTATAAGTAACATGATATATAAATAGTATATTTGCTACTATGTACTATATATATGATTTGATATAATTGATAGTAAGCGCCTCATACGTGCTGGATCTGAGACAAAATCATCACCATCAACTAGAACTACACGTAGAACAAGAGCTAGCTCTGTTGATCCAGAAAGCATGTCTGATCAAACTAAAAGTTTAATAAATATATCATCCAAGTCACGTAGACGAGCATCTGTGTTACCATCGCAATCTCCAGTTAAGGAAGAAATGGAAGAAAAGCAACAAGAACCTGGTACAAAGATAGATACTATATTAGATGAAGTTAAAGAACTTATAAGTTCAGGTAATACTTTATAGCATCTATTATTGGTTGTACTTCGGATATGTATAATTTAAGTTACAAATATTAGAATTACTCTATAATATAAATATAGGAAAGAATTCCTCCTTAGAAAAAGCAACATATTCAGAAAACAGCCAAGAGATTGAAGAAATAGATGATACAAATAAGAATAAAATTCAGAAGGATGATAGCTATGGTAAGCTAAATTATAAAGTACAATAAAGAAAACATAATAAAAAGAAAAATATATGGAGTATCTTTCAAAATAGTTACTTTTGAGATATGTTTAAAATTTTTGAGATATTTTGAGATATGTTTAAAATTTTTAGATGAAATGGTATCAACTTCAGCATCAGATAAAACGTTCCAACAATTGGAAGATAATGAAATGCATAGCAAACATACAGTTGTAACAATATCAGATGAGAAGAATCTTGGTAAATAATTTTTAGTAGCAAGAAAATTTTTTACTATTTTAATACTCAAAAAAAGATCACATGTTCTTGATTTTTTAAGAAATGAATTGGAAGAATTGCTTTTCTTTTATCATAATTAAGTTTATATAAATTGAAATAAGGTGACAAAAATTATAAAGTTATATAAGTTTATAATTTATATTTTTTTTCTATAGATATGGTAAAAAGCAGCTGTATAGAAAATTCATCATCTAATGTTGATATAAGTGATGAAATTCTCATCGACGATATAAATTCTCCGAAAGATAAGGAAGAAAATAAATCCAGAAAAATTGAGAACGAAGAAATTGAGAATTCGCTAATAAACGCACAAAAAAAATCACCTATAAAGGAATTAACAATAAGGCTTGAAGATGTACTTAATACTACTCTTGGAGGACAAAAGAGAAGTCCTGGCAATAAGGAAAATCAAACGCTAAACATCATTAGTGATATATCATCTGAAAAGAGCACGGGGCCTGTTATTACTAATATAACATCATTAAGCACCAAATCTCTGACTACAGTCCTTGCAAATAAACCATTAATTGAAAAAGAAAATAAAATTGCGTGTAACGAATTAAGTAAACGTCGTCGGTCGAGAGAATCTATAGAAATTGAAATGAAACCTGCTGCCCTGTTGAAAGAAAGTATTGCTAACATTGATAAAATGCTAGATTCTTTTAAAGACTCTTCAAATCTCATAAGCCATAGTAAGAAGAATATAGGTAGTCCTTTGACAGATGATACAACCGAGAATCAAAGCTTGGTGCACGATGTAGACAAAAAATCAAATACAAGTGATACAGTTGAATCAGTTTTGTCAGTGGTTAACAATGTAAAATTGGTTGAGGATGTTACTGATGATCAGATATTCGTTGAAATAGTAAATAAACCTAATAAAAATATAACAGAAGTAGTTAATAAATTAGACAAAAATGATGCTAAAATTTGTAGTGAAGTTATTGATACAAGTCAAGAAAGTTCGTGCTTTTCGATTGTTAATAATAATAATGAGATGAAATTAGAATTGGAAAAGTCAAATGAAGCCCAAAATAAAAACAAGTCACTGAATGAATCGATGAAAACCATAACAGAACTCAATGTTGATTGTTCAAATGAATCAATAGATGTTGAAAATTGTAGCGACAAATCTATCGCAGTCGATAAACCGACCTCTACAGCTCACGATGATGCAAAAGACAATTTATTGGACTCTGTAGAACAAATAAAGAGGTATTTATCTAATGATTCAACGGATTTAAAATCAAAATCTTCCAGCACTATCTTAGAAACGACTCATTTTTCTTCCAGCAATATAAAAGCAGATGACACTATTCAAAATTCGCCATCTCGTAATACTATGGAGGTTTCCGAGAAAATCGTAGCAAATACACATGAAAAGATAGAATCTATGAATACTTTGTTGAAAACTGCTGCAACCTCAACACAGCAGAAGAATGAAAACACATCAGGTACATCAGACATAGGAAAAAAGAGTTCGCAGTTGAAACAAGATCAAGAAGTTTCAGAAAATATAGAAGATGATGACGAGTATAATGCAGACCTTATTAGCTTGTTTAAAGATATTCCGAAAGAAGATGAAAACAATACTATTAGAAAAGACTCCAATCCTCTTACAATAGAAAATGAAAGCGAAGCTGAATGTGATCTAGTTTTAGTAGATAAACAAGCATGGTTAGCTGCTGAAAGTATGAAAGCAATAAGGGATAAAGAAGTTTTTGATTATGATTCCGATGATACTGTATTGATGAAGAGCACTACACAAGCTAGTCATAAAAAACGATTGTCTACCATAGATGAATCATTACTAATAAATGTCGGTGATGATGATGATGATGATGATGATAACGATAATGATAATGATAATGAAGAAAAGCAAAAACAAGAAGAAAAAGAAATAGCTAAATCAATTAAAACACGGAAATCATTGATTAAAGAAAAATCTGCATCAGAAAAAAATGATTCTTCAACTATATGTATAAATGAAGATAGTTCGAGTTCTATCGAACTTTTAAACACGTCGAAGAAAGGTTTAAATCGAAGTACTAATCGATCTGCCTCTGGATTAAATAAATCAGGACAGGTAGCAGATCAGTCTGTCAAAATACTAGGTGAATTGGATGACGAAATTAAAGATAACAAAAACAGATTAAATAGGAGCTCACAAGCGCGTAGAAATACTTTGCGAAAATCAACTGAAAGAAGAGAATCGTCGAGTAAATTTTCAAAAGATATGTCTTTAAGGCAGAGTGCTCAAGGTGTGAAAAAGAAATCTTTAAGTAAATCTCAAGCGGATGATTCAGAGGAAGAAATAGACAATATAAGAACATGTACGGAAAAAAGTTTAAAGAAAAAAAAGCGGTGTTTAAAAAAATTGAAAGTACGTATTGAAGACGCAGATATTGATGAATCTGAAGAAGTCGAATCTGAAAGCAAGAATTCGTTGGACGAAGAGAGCGAGCAAAAGGAAGATGCACTTATAAATTTAGAGGATTTAGATGAAAATGATGAAGTTTCGCAGATTAAAGGCTTAAGACGTAAGATAGGTGTGAATTATTCTACAATAGCGATCGCAGGTTCAAATAACTCAACTAAATCGAGCGACAATACGAGTGACGATTCGATTAAACATTATGAATGTGTACGTTCCTTATTCGAGAAGAATAACGGTACCGATGGTGACGATAGTAATGGCGATGATGATGATGATGGTATAGGCAGTATAGATTCCGATATCAAGAAAGAATATAACCTGGATGCAGCTGAGCAAGAACATTCAGATGATAATGTTCCCTACGATGAATGTAGAACTTCGGAATCGGAATCTTCAGATTCTGATGACGGTTCAGATCTTGCTGATTTTATAGTCGCTGATGATGCGATAGAAGATGATGGAAAAAATGAAGGAGATAACAGCGAAGATGATGAACAAGGAGAGGAGAATGAAATTCAAGAGGAAGAAGAACAAGAGGAAGTAGAAGATAAAGATGTAGACGATGAACAAGTGGAGAATGCAGAGGAAGATGAAAATGAGAAATTTGTCAAAACATTAGAGACAAATATTAGTAAGAATAATGCTTCTGATAATATCGGCAAAAATAAGAAGAGGATATCTACTGAATATACTGCACCTTGTCAATTAAAAATGAAAGATACTAAAACAAAAAAATCCGATATGAAGAAACTTAAAGAAACTATTATTTCGACTACATCTGACTTGAAATCTTCAATTAAGAAAAAAAAGAAATCGCACATAAATGAAATAGAGCAGAGCTTGTTGAAGCAGTTAAATGAATCAGAAATAAACAGAAAAAAGTTGCCAAGAGTAATGCATACATCGATGGAATGTAGTACACCAAAGGCTAATTCTTCTAAACAAGAATTCGTAAATGATATTGAATCAGCTACGATAGCGTTGGAAGCTGCAGATATGAATGAAACAATGCAACGTAAGAAAAGATCAAGGAAAGATTCCATACCAAAAACAAACGTCAGCTCCAAAGAATCTAAACATATAGATGAAGAGGAAATACTACACACTAGCTTGCCATCTGATTTACTGGAAAGAGTAGCAAAAATGAAGCCGAGGTCCAAAACGATTGCGCTAAATAAAACGGTGAACATTACTCACTCCGAAACGCCTACAATAAGAAGCTTGAGAAAAGAAAAGTTGAATGAAAGCGCTCCAGAATTGAAATTAAAAGAAACTAGTCAGCTGCAAAAGAGACGGTCATCTAAAGAGGAAAATAATCTTGCACTAAAGGAAACAGACAAAACGGACGATGATATTGACGAAATGTCTAATCTTGTAGCACTATTTCACGATGAGGTACAAGAAGCACAAGAATCTAGTCAATCTAAAAAACAGTGGAAACGCAAGAAGCAAGCGGAAGAAACATTGAATGAAAACGCAGAAAATGTTCCATCTCAAGATACAATAAATTTAGAAATTTTTCAGCAGCAAAAGAAGAAGAAAAAAAATAATGACAAGCTTAGTCAAATATTAACTGTAGAAGAAACCGTAGAAGATCGCCAAGATATGTACCAGCTTAATGAAAAAAAGAAGAAAAAGAAAATTAATGTAACTAAAATAGATGAAAATACAATGAAAGATGATATACAGCAAAATGATACTTCTAAGAAAGAAAAAGAAAAGTTATCTATAGCACACGATGAAGCAGAACATAGTAAGAAGAAAAAGAAAAAGGACAAAATGGTAGTTAATGTAGAACGTGACAATATTGAACCTGTAGAAAGTATGATTGCAAAGAAAAATATTAAACGGCAAAAGACAAAGGACAATAAAGAGTCTTTGTCAAAAAAATCACTACAAAAGAAGAACAGAGCAAAGGAAAAGAAACAGAAAGAAATAAAAGTGGAAGGAAAGATTCCATTACCTCAAGCTGAAGCTTCGACATCCAAATCGAAGTTGAGTAAAAAAACGGGATCGGGAAAACCACCAGTGCAAAATGTCTCGTCAGAAACGGTTGAATCCAAAAATATTGCCTTTAATAAAGCACGAAGCGAAGCGTTGGAAGCTATCAAGTCTGCTGCAGAACGCATTGAGCTCAATAAAGAATTAAAGAAGAAGAGAGAAAATACTATGAGTTTGACTCAGGAACGAGATATAAATATTCCTATTAAAAAGAAGAAAACAAAGGAACATTTTGAAGAAGAAAAACAGAAAAATGTAATGTCATCTGCGGGCAGTTTGAAACGACTTCCAGATAATGTGATCGAGAAACTTTCGGATATGCCAACACGAACGAAAAGACGAAAGCTTTCGCAAAATAGGGAACAAGTAAAATCATTGTCAGTAAAAAACAGCGAATTCCTTGAATCGAAAATGCAGGGTAAAAATTTGATTCCATTGAGTTCCAACGGCAGTACTACACAGTTTACTATAGTAAATCTGTCGAAGACCAGAAAAGAACCGTCGGATACGGTCTCTAAAGTAATGTCGTATAGACAACAGATGCTGAATAGGAACAAACGAGAACCTATTTCTTCTTACCTGATGTATCTACAAAAACAGCGTTCAGCGTCAAAAGATGGATTTTCTGATAAAGCATTCTAAAGTTCATATTATTTCAATTTTGTTAGATTTATATTAATATCTCATTTGTTAAGTCCTAAACATTATAATAGATGATTCCCTTATAATAACAAGACTAAAAAATAATGATAAAATTAACCTACATCTTTTTATGTTATTACACGGTCTAGACATTTGTAATTTTAGCTTAATGTTATTCAGAAATAATATTAAAAGCAGTTTACGTATTTTTCAGTGTCATATAATGTAGTATATTATGTATTTCATGAAAGCTATATTTAAGGTTTTTTATTTTTGGATAAGTAAAAAAGGAAACATTTTTTTAAAACACTGGTTAAACAAATCATATATGTAACAAGTTACGTCTTAATAATCTAATCTTCTCAGATATGTAAGTAGAACACATGATAAATAAAAATTATAAAAGTATTTATTAGCGATATAATTATTTGTACAATTCTTAGCATATCTCTGTACAAAGCAGCAGGTAGATTATTGAATTTGTTAAAAAGTTTAATCCAATTTTCTGCCTTTTTCAACAATAAATTTATCACTTTTTACAGTTGAGATGTGAATGCTCCCAATTATTATTAAGACGATTATTTAATTAATGAACAATTTGTATAGAATAAAAGAATAAAAAAGTAGTAAAAATGCTTGTTTATATTGTTTGATACCTATATCAAATAGTAACTTGATCGAATTATCTTAATTTCGAGGATACATATAAACTACAGTGTACCAGAAATTAACATGAATTACAGAAGAAATATGTTATATATGCACATTAAAATAATTTAATATAAAATTATTAGTTGATTAAATACATATTAGACAATCAGTGTAAACAAAATTAAGTTTTATTTAAAAATCAAGAATTTTTGATTAATTTGATAAAGAATTTCTTTCAGATTATATGTCATCGAGCTAGAATTTTTTGTTGAATTTCAATTTTATTCAAGACTGATGTTAATATATTGCAATATTTTCTAAGCACAAGTAACAGGCGACGTTTCCTTCTTGATATTTAAAAAACAAGCACCGTTTCCAGCGTTATTTTGTCCAGTGAATAACACACATGCAAGGCCGTTTACTGCGATACTCTGCCAAATTTTATCCACCCATTTGTTCACAGTACGAAATGTTTTTTCTACTCGCTCATCTACTAATTCCCCTTCTTTAATCCTTAGGTGGCATATTGTAAAACCGTGCTCCATTGTTATTTCGGAGGTCCTAGTTACCGCGTGTTTATTGTTTTCCGCTATTACGAGACGTACCTGCAATCAATGTAAAAAGTCGACATTATTTCATTATTAATCTTTATTTCATTATTAATCTTTAAGTATGATGTATTTCAAATAATCGCTGAAAATATAATATTTTTATTTATTGTATGTCCCTTTTTCAACTTCTGTTAATTTATCGACCTTTGAAAATTTGAAAATCAAATTAACAAAAATCAGGATGCTATTAAATCAAGAGGCACGGTAGTGCCTTGCGCCAAGTTCAAGCGCAACGAAGTTGCGCCCGAACGGCGCAAGGCATACCGTGCCTATATTACGCGAAACTGCGAGTTCAAAGGAGGTGAGATACTCATATCTCAGCGATGGCTTAACCGATCGAGGTTTTTTTAGTCCCAATCGATTCGGCCTTAAAAAATAGGAAGCAAAATGTTCATGATTTTTGTATACGTTGTCTCTAAGTGAAAGTATTTTAACACATTGAGCGCCGGCGACCTAAGAGACATTTAAAGCCTGAACGCCGGCAACGTATCGGCCACTTAAAGCCCAAACGCCGGCCTCATTCGCTGTTTCTGATCAATGAATAGCCAAAAAAAAATATTTAAAATATACATTTTCGTAAAATAGTATATTTTAATTGCATATTCGTCATATACAATTTAACGGAAATGAAAAATAGAAACAAAATCGAAATTTTTAATTTATATTTATAATTAATTTTATATTTATAATTATAGAAAAAAATAGTTTTTTATTTCATGGTAGATTATTACATATATATAACACAAACAGAAAACAAAAATATTAATATTTAAGGCAAGTATGGTATTTCTCGAAACATTGTCCAAGATGTAAGGGTACTAAGCATTCAGCACACATAAAGCTACTCTCGCTTTTTTTTTACTAGCAAAGCAAACTTTACACGGACGTCGTACATATCGGTTTGTTTTCCCTGATCCAACAATTCTGGTAACTTTGTTTTTTCATATTACCCCAAAGTCTCTGAGGGTGATCAAATTTTGGTGTGCGAGATGTAGGAACAAGTACAAGCGATAGACTCAGAATCCCGCGTTTTCGCGGGGCTGGCGCTCAAGCGACAGACTCGGAATCCCGCATTTTCGCGGGGCCGGCGCTCAATGTGTTAAGATAAAGTCCGAATTACAGAAAATTTCGATTCAGTAAGAAAGTAAGTAAGAAACGTCGGACGCATAGGAGTGGGGATATGAATGCATCTCGTTTTTCCGACACCAGGGGCGCTACGAGAGCGCTGAAGAAACAGACAGCAGCGAATGCGAGTGAGTAAGTAAGAGATATGCTAGAATATAGTATAGGAGAAAATGTGCGAGAGAGAGGAGAGAGAGAGAGAGAGAGAGGAGAGAGAGAGAGAGAGAGAGAGAGAGAGAGAGAGAGAGAGAGAGAGAGAGAGAGAGAGAGAGAACGGGAGAGAGAGGGGGGGAGAGGGAGAGAGAGAGAGAGAGAGGGAACAGGCGAGAGAGAGAACGGGCGAGAGAGGAGAAAGAGAGAGGCATAAAAAGGTGAGAATACTGTTGGTATACGTCATGGTATGTTATGACGTACGTCATTTGATTACCGGTCAGCTGATGCTGAGCAGACGATGTGATGAGCTATGCCATCGAAAAATCAATACCGGTGTTTATTGACTCGTCGTCCAGGGTGATCGCCCTTCAATTATAAGGACCGCTTCATACAATTTATAACGCAAGTGGTGCAGGTAATAGGCGAATTAGGTGAAAATAATTTATAAGTATAAAAATTAATGACATTTACACATTAATGGTGTATGTATGTGATATGGAGTATGTACGTGACGTATATATAAAATAATAATGTTACATAATATAAGACAATATAATATAATGTATATTATATATAATTTCAGCAATGGCAAAGAATGATAGTATAATGGTGCAGGATGAGGAGGAGTTGGAGGAAATTGTGGTGGGCACAGAAATATGTCAATTAAAAAATGAGAACAAGGGAATTGAAAGAAAAATTAGAAAAGATGGAGCAGCAAGTAAAGCTGTTGATGGAGAAAACAGATGATTCTTCAAATGAGTAGTCGTACTAATTAATTAATTTATACATTAAGTTTCGATTATATTTAATATATTATGTATGTACGTTTGTACGTATATACATATATACATATGTATGAATGTATATATATACAGAGTATCTCAGAACTTTGGGACACGAGCTCCGTAAGGACATAGAGCTAAGTGAGAAGAACAAGAAAGTCCTGTACCATAATGTGAAAATCGTAATAGTTTTTTAGTAATAACCGCGTAAAGTTTGGCGTTTTCTACGCGTTTTCCACGCGGCCTATAGACGCTCCGCGGCAAGCTGTGTGCATAGGGGCTGAGCGATAACGCGTCTCGCGCTGACTGTCGCGATGACGTCTTGGTACTTTGACGCCGCGCGACGGTCAGCGCGAGCCGTGTTATCGCTCAACTCCTACGCACACAGCTTGCCGCGGAGCGTCTATAGGCCGCGCTGGGCGTGAAAAATGTCAAACTTTACGCTGTTATAATTAAAAAACTATTACGATTTTTACATTATGGCACAGGACTTTTTTGTTCCTCTCACTTAGCTTTATATCCCTACGGAGCCCGTATCCCAAAGTTCTGAGACACTCTGTATATGTATGTATATATTATAAATATATTATTTATTTATTATTATATTACAGATGATAAAGTACGCACAAGGGGCGCAAGTGCCGGCCACAGCAGGGCTACATGGGTTCATCGTCGCGGACGTAGAGGACCGGGGCAGCCAATATATTAGAAACTATTTTCGTTTCACATAAAATATATACATATATATCGTCGGTTCTAATAGGGATGATATATCCACAGAGATTTTGGAAGAAGTAGTACGCATCAACGAAGATAGTGATGCATCTCTCAAAGATGAACGTTTGCCTGTTTTTATGATTTTCATTTTGGAAAAAGAACATTCGCATAAATATGTGGACCCAAACAGAGAAACTATTTAAATATTTTAAATTTAAAGCTGCAAAAGATCAACCAAACTATTTCGCAGGTAGTTAGTCATGTCAATTCCTTTCACAGGAAACTAGTACTTTTTAAAAATCAGTTACCAAATAATGTTCTTAACTTTTTTCCTTCTTGCCAGATTCTCTTTGAAAAATACAATACAAATTGTAATTTCGTTAAACAATGTAATGTTATTGACTCTTTAATAAATCAGTTTGATATGCGTTTCAGTGATTTCGAAATTTTAACACGTTGACTGCCAACTACGAGATATCTCGTAGGTTGTTTACTTGCCCAGGACGCCTAACTACGAGTTATCTCGTCCCTTTATTACTTGCCATATTTGTACAGCTACGAGGAAACTCGTAGCATAACAGTGTAAATATGAATAGATGGCCTCAGGAAAGAGAATAAAAAATGTTTAAAAAAAAACATTTTTAAGCTTTTTGATTATTACTATGTACTATTATTAAAGTTTTTAATAATATAACATGCTTAAATCAAATTGACTTTTTAGACCGGAATCGTGAAAAATTCCGTGGCAGTCAACGTGTTAAGAAAAGATTTAATACTCTTTGAGAATCCTCTCACTGTGCAAATCGAGGAACAAAGTTTACATCTTCAGGCAGAATTGTGCAATTTGCAATATGATTTTTCGCTAAAAACACGGCAGGAAAAGGGTATCGGATTTTTTAAAATTTTAGACGCATCATGTTATCCACATCTTAGAAATTTCAATGTTCGAATTTTTTCTATGCTTGGGTCCACATATTTATGCAAATGTTCTTTTTCCAAAATGAAAATCATAAAAACAGACAAACATTCATCTTTCAGAGATGCATCACTATCTTCGTTGATGCGTACTACCTCTTCCAAAATCTGTGGATATATCATCCCTAGTAAAATCGACATATAAACGAGCAAGAAAATCCAATTAATATTTCTATAAAAATTGGCCATTTTGCGCTCTGTACTTATTTTTCCTCTTTCGTTTTTATATTCCTCACAATGTAACATTTCGCTTTCCTGCTGAGCCATGTATTTCATCTTCATTAATTTTTAGTGAAGTAGGCCTACTGGCGAAACCATTAAAAAAAAAACGCATCAACAATAATACCTTGAGTGATGTGGAAATCTATTAACAAAACTTTAATAATTATATTCTTAATTATTGTTATCACTATATTATTATTAAAAGGAATTTATTATATTAGAAATAAAAGCATAATATTTCATCATTAATGAGAGTAAGAATTATTTTTTAAGGATAAATAAATATTTTATTTTTGGTTTGACGGAGGGTGCGATCCCATCTTATATCGTATATAAGATCGTTCATGAGGCAGAGCGTCTCACGCGCGATCGGCGGTTCGGCCGCTGCGCTTCGAGAGGTAGTGGGAAAAATGCATGCGTTGCCTCTGAAATCGGCCCGCGCTGCTCACTTAATTCCCAGCACTGGTATAGACGCGTCAATACGCATCAGGCACACAAACATAATGACTATTGTCTCCGGTCTAAGAAGGTAGGACGTAAAAGTTCATAGATGTCGTTTTGGATTTCCTCGTTCTGTCACTGAAGCATTGACCATAAGAGATATCGTAAATTCGATAGCAGGAAGAAAACAATTAAAACATAGTAGTAGTGTATGATCTTCCTCGGAGAGAAAATGAAGTTAATATAAATGATTATAATCCTGTTTTTCTTACTGCTTGGCAAGGAAATATGGATATACAATTTATTGGTGATAAATCAATATTGCTTACGTGGTACATTATTAAGTGGTACATTATTAATATAAATAAAGCTGGAAAATGTGAATTATCTGAATCTATCGATAGCAAGAATAATAAAAACCAATCATTGACAAGTTATCTTTGGAATATTGGCTTGCGATTTATGCATAATAGGGAATGTGGAGCTCTCGAAGCTGCTGATACATTATTAGGTATTCCTCTATATGGAACTGACCGAAATACGACTATTAGATGGTTAGACTGTAATCAAATACGATAGAAA